ACCAACCAAGCCAACAGTGAAACAAGCAAAACCAACACACCCACCACCTATCTGCGCTCTAAAGTGGGGGTACATAGGGGGTAAAAGGAAAAAAAAAAAAAAAAAAAAAAAAAAAAAAAAGGACGCAACATGGGAAGGAAAATAAACCAGGCATCAAGGACGTAAATAAACAAAATAAATAATTAAAAAGAAAACCAAGCAAGCAAGGCTATCTAACTACTCCTTTGCCCCTCCCTCTCCCCCCTCTATAAACCCCCCTAGCTCCCCACATCCCCCTCTCCAAACCTCGTCAAAAAGCCATCCCTCTCCCACCTCGCATAAGCGGGGCGGGCCAAGCTGCGTCCCGCAACCTCGATATCGGTCCTAATATCCTTGACCAGACTATCCTTGTCCACGTAGTCGTATTCAGGACGAATGAAGCCGAGGATCATGAGGTTGAGGTGGGCGCCGTAGAAGTCGTGCGTGAAGGCGTGCAGGAGGTGGACTTCCTAGTGGGAGGGGTTAGTGGGGGTTGGGTTTGTGGGGGTGGTTTGTGTTTGGGGAGGGGCGCGTGATAGTAGCTTTACACTCTCCCTCTCCCTCTCCTTTGCGCACACATACACACACACACACACACACACACTCTCTCTCTCTCTCTCTCTCGACACTCTAGCCAGCAAACACCACGCACCCAATCCACAACAACAGCACAAGCACGCAGCACGCACACACACACACTCAACAAGGGGTGCGCGTGCGAGCGTGTGCGTGCACCGCCAAGCAAGCCAAGCAAACCACGCAGCCACCCTGACGAAACGGCGCAGAAGCCCAAACACACCGCACCACACCACAGCACCCCGCAGCGCTAGTGAATGGCGCTGTTGGATGGTTTATACGGGGCTTTTTTTTGGCTTGGGTGGTTGGGTGGGTGCTTGGTTGCTGAGCTGGGCTGGTGGTGCTGGAGTGTGTGTGTGTAAGGGTAGGTGCGAGTGTGGTTGGGTGGGTGGCTAGTTGGGTGCGTGACGGCGTGGATACTGCCACCCAGCGCCGCCGTCGCCAGTGTGAAGCCACGCCAAAGCGAGGCGGTTGCTTACACAACAGTAGCGGCAGGCAGGGCACGCGCCCGGAGCTGTGGGTGCGTGGTGCGTGTGTGCGTGCGTGCGGCGTGCGTGGTGCGTGTGTGCGTGCGTGTGTGCGTGCGTGTGTGCTTGGGAGAGGGAAAGGGAAAGGGAGAGGGAGAGGGAGCGCGGCCATGCTGCTAGCTGCTAGCTGCTATTTGCTGATTGCTGATTGCTGGTTGCTAGTTGCTAGCTGCTGAGACGGCCCTGGATCACTTCCCCCACACACGCTCACTCGCTCGGAGAGTAGTGAATACATGCATGCGCGCATGCGTGCGTGCGTGCGTGTGTGCCAGCAGTAGCAACAGCACCAGCAGCACCAGCAGCACCAGCAGCAGTAGCTCGCGCCCTCAGACTCGTATCCTGAAACGCACGAAAAGCGCAAAACGGGGAAAACAATTCGAGCGGGAGTCCAAAAATAAATAAAATAAAAATAAAAAATAGACTTACCACGCTGCGGACGGTATTCTTGTAGAAAGGGTTGTAGCCAATACTGACGACCATAGGATGGACGCGGTGCTGGCCCTCCCACTCCTCGGCGACGTTCTCGTCGGGCGAGCCAAAGAGGACATTGCCGACGGCGTCGACGACCCTGCTGCCCGTGTGCATGGCCTTGTTGACCATCGACTCGTCCGGGTGTTGCTGGCCGTGCTGGAGCTCGGCAGGGCTGCCGTTGGCGCTGCTAAAGTCCAGCCCGGCCCAGCCGTAGTAGATGCCGCTTTGCAGCTGGTCGTTGCCGCCGACGCTGAGGCCCTCGATGGGGATGTTGGCCGTGGGAATGCCCAGCTGTGGTGGTTGCGCGCACCCGCGCCAGCGTCAGTCTTGACTTCTGCGTCAAAGCAAATCAATCTATTGAGAGAGAGGGTCGGTCGGCGAGGCCGTGGTTGGTGGGATTGTGGGGAGGGTAAGCGGGCATGGGCAAGCAAGCAAGCAAGCAAGGTAAGCCAAGCCAAGCCAAGGCAGGGCGTGAGGAGGCATGAGCATGAGCCATGACGAACGGGCCTCTTGTGCACTGTTTCTGTTTTTGGGATACGATCGGTGCGGATCGTGTTTCAGGGCGCTTGACGTCGAGTAGCACAGCGCCTTTGCCCCAGAAAGCGGCGTGGGGCACAGGATTTCCTGCTTTGGGCCGGCGCTGCACACCGCAACACATCGACTCGAGGAGCCAAAACCGGACACGAGACGGCGGCGGCGGCGACACAGCAGGACGACGGCGAGCGTCGTGGCAGCGTTCGCGGAAGCTGAAAAGGGAGAAACGTGCTACTGCTGAGCAGAGGAAGGGAAGGGGTGCCGTCGTCGTCGTCCGTCATGGTCCGTCGGTAGCAGCAGCAGCAGCCCGGCGCGCTGGGTCTCGTGCCACCGCACCGCTCATGCCTCTCGCTGTTTCCAGGCGTCGCTTCCTTGGTCGCCCTTGACCACGTGCCGGCCAGACGCCCTTCTGGAAGAGCGGTGGAATGCGGGAACGCGCGTTTGACAGAAGCAGAGACAAGGACGGACCCGGCGGGTGGGTGAAAGAAGAGGAGAGAGAGAGAGACAGAGAAAGACTATTCGCTTGCTTGCTTGCTTGCTTGGGGTTGACGAGACTATTGACAGAGATGTAACGTACCTCTTTGCTGCCGCGGCCGAAGCCCTTGATGACTGTGCCGCTAAGCTTGAGCGGGAAGGGCGGCTCGGGGACGTCGGGGCCGGCGATGGGCTCTCGGGGGCCCTTTGGCGGAGGCATTCTGGCGGATGAAGCGAGCGAGCGTGCAGACGGGAACCGAGATTTGCGCAGAGACACGGGGAGGCTTCGTCTGGACGGAAGGCGGTAGGAGGCAATGACGATGCGGCAGAATGAGGCCATAGCCAAAGGCGGTGGGCGGCTAGCGCGGGGCAGACGAGGCTGCTGACTGGAATGTTCCAAATGGATGGATGCTCGAGGTCCGTAAACACTAAACACAAATAATTCATCTCTGCCCCTGGCATCCATCCCAAAACATGCATCTCCATCCATTCATTCGCTCTGCTGTCTCCAACTCATCACCGTCTTTTCCCTGCCGTTTCAAGTCCTGCCCGAACCTGTCCTTCAATCTCGTTTCGCCCTATTGCCCATACTTACACGGCGTCGCAGATGCTCTTTCCGTTCCTTGCCGCCCGGGGAGGCGGAGCAGGAGCAGCAGCAGGAGCAGCAGTACCTAGAAGCAGGAGTACCTAGCAGGAGGGCGATAAAGTCAACCAACATGGGCCCTGCAGTGCCTCCAGCCGCGTGGCACTGGGTTCCTCCCGCCCGCCGATCTTGCGACTCCCGTCTGCTCCATGCCCACGGCACCAGCGTCGCCCGATCAGCAGACCGCCACCGCGACCGCGCGCATACGTAGTATGTAGTAACTACGTACAATACCAGGTCCCAACGCGCCCCGCAAACGGCAGACGGCCCTTGCTCCATGTATGTATGTAGTATGTACCTACCTACGCACCTATGCAACCCTCGTCTGCCTTGCCCCACCCAAAACCACGGCACGACTGTACATCCCCGCTCCTCTCCAAACGGACACGCTTGCGAGTTTGAAGTACCCTGTCACGCAGCACGAGAGGCCGCGCGCTGCTCGAGCTAGCTATCTCCTGCTAGGAGTACTGCTGCTGCTGTTCTGTGTGTGTCGGGGCGCTGTTCCGTGGTTGGTGTTTGATGTTTGGTCACGCGGCGAGGGTGCGTAGAGGTAGGTAGGTAGGTAGGTAGGGATGGAGAGAGGGAGGTGGTGTGTGTGGTGGTTTCGGGTCCCCGCTACAGAGCGCGGTGCAATTGGGACGTTGAGGATGAGGTGCGTAGGTTAGGTAGTGCGTGAGTGAAACCGTAGATACCTATCACTACTATAGCCACTGCGCGCGCGAGTTCAGAGCTAAGGCAGAGGGCAGGAAACGCGTGTGCTAGACAGTTTTGCTGGCGAGCGGCCACGACACCCACATCCACATCCACATCCACATCCACGCAAGCCACGAGGCAGGAGTAGGGACGGCGTGGCCGGTTGCGCACGTCGCTGGCTATTTGAACACTTACTCGGTGGGGAGTTGCTGTTGTTGGAGTGTTTCGTGCTGCATACAATGGAATGGATACGTACACCAGGGGTGACTGCTGGACATTGGTATATTTTTCTGAACCTCGCTCTGCTTGACCGCGCTCTCGTCTATCGCGCAAACGCATGCGACGCGCTCTCCAAACGACTATATGGCGACGACGACATCAAAACGCCATGCCAGCCAACCAGCAATCCGACCAGCCTCAAAAGAAGAAGAAGAAGAAGAAAGAGAAGCAGGCCCCAACAAACACCTACACGACGCCCGCCCCCGCCACAGCTCTAAACGCGAGTCCCTTCTCCCCCCCAACGCGCAACCCCTCCTTCTCAATCCCAGCACTCCTCCTCTTCTCCCTGACCTCCTCGACCAAGCGCTCCCGCATCTCCCGCACATGCCCACAAATCCAATACCGCTCCAGCACCTTCGGCTGCATGTTCTTCGCGCCGTCAATCACGCCCAAACACGCCACGTCCCCGCACGTGCACTCAAACGCCCTCGCCATGCTCCACTCGGTGCTGGGGTAAAAGAACGTCAGCTCCTCGCCCGCGCGGACGCCGCGGTCCGAGGCCCGCACTTCCCACGCCTGCATGTCGAAGATCAGGTTTGGGGCGCAGCTGTGGTTGATGTAGACGAGGTCGCTGTTCAGCTCGATGTGCGATGTGGGGCTGCATTGCACGGTTGTGTACGCGGCTTGTGGCACGGGCGTTGCGCTCGTGATGCGTGCGAAGAGCGCGTGTGGCGCGAGGGAAACTTTGCTGATGGCGCGTGTGGTGTAGTTCTCGCCGTGGTGGACTTCGAGCAGGCGCGTGAGGTCGGGCCCGGCCCAGGCGGGGATGGGGTTGCTGTTGGGGTCGGTGGTGTTGGCGGTGCCGTTGGTGGCGGGGATGCCGTTGGCGGCGTCGAGGGCGGGTGCCATTGTTGTTGTTGTTGTTGTTATGGTGGTGGACAAAAGCCAGGAAACAGCAAGCAGCAGCTCACAGACAAACAGCCGGACAAAGGCGTATATGTACCTACGAGTACTCAGCAACAGCGCCCGCGTCGGGCAGCGTCACAAGCTCGCTCGACGCAGGTACCTGTACAGCCAGCCAGTAGCGACGTCAGGTGGGGCAGCAAACCCGACAGCTACCCCGCCGCCCCAAGCCCGCTGTCCACGACTCGCGGCCTTTTTGCCCCACGCCCCGTCGTCCGCAGTCCGCGTCGTCCCGATGCCGAGGTTCGCGGCGGGCAAGACATCCTTTGCTGCGAGCGAGCGAGTGCCAACATGGAAGTGAGTGAGTGCCCTCAGGCCCTGCCGCGTCACGCGTGGCCAGATCACCCAGAATCAGATGGAAGAAGAGATGCGAGCCGTTCCGTGCCGATGCCGATGCGAGCCGCTTGTGCCTGGGTGGTGATTGATGAACCACGTCCACCGCGTCGCCGGATGAGGATGCTTGCTGCTCTGGCTGTTTGAGGGAGGGAGGCCACGAGGCCAGCCACCAGCTGTATAGTGTAGTGTATAGCCGGGTAAAACCCGTCCGTCCGTTCATTCGTTCATTCGGTCGTTCATGCGCCTTCGACGCGGAGAGCGATGGCCGTGGCCGTGATGGACGAACGGGCTTCCACGACGTCAGGCGCTCCGGCCACCGAGTGCCTTGCCATGCGCCATCCAACCCCATCTCAGTCCCCGTCCCCCACAACGCGCTGTGTGTGTGTGCAATCCGTCATCGCCAGCTGGCGCGCTGGTGCCCATTCATCGCATCCATCGCATCACTCACTCTTTCACTCATCCGCGGCCCGCGGCATTACCTATGCCCCCATCCCCCATCCCCCATCCCCCATACCCATCCCTCATACTCATCCCTCGCACCTCGCACTCCGTCCCCGAACCCAGACGGGACTGAGACAAGCCATTAGCCAACACCCACACCCGTCGATCGCAGCCGCAGCCGCCGTCGGCTCTTGCTGTACCTTGCGAGCGACAGACTGCCAAGGTTCCACCCCACACCCTCCCTCCCTCCCTCCTCACTCCCTCGAGCATCACATCGCGCACCACATCGCGCACCGCGCCCTGTTCAAGTGACCTCAAGAAACAACGCGTACGTACACACACAAACGTGACTTGCAGAAACAGCAAAGAGGAGACGAACTTTGGCATTCATGTTCACGTTCAGGTTCAGTCTCGCAAGCAAGCAAGCAAACGACAAGTACAAGTACTAAAAACGAAGCAGCAAAAGCAAAATGAAGCATAAAACAAAAACCAAAGAAGCCGCCGCCCCTTGCTCTTAGCATGGCATAGCATAGCATAGTATGGTACAGAACAGTATCAAACTCTAACAACAAGCAGACAGACAGATCAATAGACATATAAGTAAGGTAAGTAAGGTAAAATAGGCCGTCTCATCTTGCCATCAAAGCTCAGCTCCGTCTCCGTCTGTCTCTCTTTCTCTCTGTCATCTCATCTCATTGCAATCGATTTCAGTATCGGTATCGCAAACACTCGCTCGCAAACGGAAAGGTATATTTAAAAGAACGAAGAAAGTAAAAAGGGAAAGTAAAAGAAAAGCAAAAAAAGCAAAGCAAAAACCATCATCTTAGTTTGGGGTATCATTACCAAACACGCTGGCAGGCAGGTAGCTAACTAGCCAACTAGCCAATTAGCTAACTAGCTAGCCAGCCAAACAAACAAACAAACAAACAAACAAACAAAGGCGAGACGGAGAACCACGTCACTTCCCCAACGCGAAGAAGTAGTAAGTAAGGAAGTAAGGAAGGAAGTAAGGTAGTAGCAAGGTACCACCGAAGCAGGCAGGTACGCAGGTTAGGTTAGGTTAGGTAGTAAGTAAGAGCATTACCGTTCCCGCTCAGCCTTGTTTTCTTTTGTTTTCGTCGGTCCGAAGCCCGATCGACTTAACCCCTCACGCCATTCTCTCACACACACTCAAAACCACCACTACCACAATCATCACTCCATCACAGCCAGCGCTGCCCCTCACCACCCTGCACGGGCCTCTGCTCCTCAATATCGGGCATAGCGACGGAGCTCCTAAGCAGCTGCAGCGAAGGACGGCGCTGCGCCGCATCGGCCGGCAGAGGCGGGACGGGGGCGGCAGCGTGCTCGGGGTAGCCGCCGTAGGGGTTGCCGTCCGCGTAGCTGGTTGGCAGCGTCATGCCCATCGGCGCCGTCTGCCGGCGCTGCAGCTGCTGCACCGAGAAGCCTGCGCCGTAGCCCGGGCCGCGCGAGCCCGGGATCGTGTACGCCTCGCCCAGGCTCTTGACCCGCACGTGGCTCATGGCGTTGCGCATCTGCTCTGGTGGCGCCGTGGTCCGCTTGCTGGACATGCTCCTCCTGCCGCTGCTGATGCTCGAGCTGGCGCTGCGCGAGTGCTCTGGGAGCGCGACGCTGGCCCGCCTGCCCCTGCTGGTGCTTGAGCTGGTGCGGGTGTGCTCTGGGATCGCGACGCTGGCCCTCCTGCCCCTGCTGGTGCTGGAGCTGGTGCGCGTGTGCTCGAGGGTCACGCTAGCCCTTCTGCCCCTGCTAGCGCTGCGGGCGTGCTCGGGAAGTATGCTAGTCCGCCTGGCGGCCCTACTGCCGTTGCTGAGGCTGCTGACATTGCTGATGTTGCGGGTATGCTCGAAATCATACGCGACCTGGCCCTCATACAGCGGGCTGACGTTGCGACTGTTGCTACGGCTGTGGCTGCGGCTGTGGCTGCGGCTGTTGCTGCGGCTGCGGGGTTGCTGGTAGCCGTAAGTGGCCGGCTCCTGGTACAGTGGGCTGACGTCTTGTCTCGCAGCAGCCAGAGCCGCGGCAGCGATGCCGGCGACTGGGTATTGCCCAGGGTTTGCTTGGATTTCCGCCTCGTTCAATGGCGAGACGCTGGTCATGTGTGGTGGTTCGGGCTGAGCCGGGGCCTCGTTAGCATAGGGGTTGTAAGCCATGTAGACGCCGCTGGCACGCTGAGCAGCCTCGTTCGAGCTAGAGGTCGTTGCGAGCGCGGACGTGGGTTCAGCAGGCACAAGTCCGTCCATCGAGATGGGATCGCTAGAAGTGTGCGAGTGGGCGCTGCCGTTCGAGGGTGGCATCGGCATCGGCGTCACCGTGCGGTAAGGGTCGTAGTCCTCGACTTCGTTAATGTGGTAGCCAGGGTAAACAATCTCCGTGGGTTCATTCGGCTGGTAGGGCATCATCGGACGCTGCTGTGGCTGTTGCATCTCATAAGCGGGTTCCGGAACCTGCATGGGCATTGGAGCAGGCGATCTGCGGTCGTAGATGTTGTAGCCCATATCAGGGTTGGCCAGAGGGGATGGACCGGGCATAGGGCGCCCCATGCTGAAGCCAGTGTCAGAGCGCATCGGAGGTCCGTAGCCATCGGGGTACATGGGCATTTCAGGAGCCGGAGAGTTGTAACGAGTGTCATAACCACCAGGGGCCGGGGGGTTGTAACGAGGATCGTAACCAGGAGCCGGAGAATTATAACGAGGACCATAACCACCTGGACCCATGGCCATAGCCGGAGCAGGGGAGACACCACGGCCCTGGGCAGTTCCCGGGCGCATGGGCATGCCCATACCCATGTTAGGAGCTGGCGAAGCGCGTTCCTGGGCAGTCGGGGGCCTCATAGGCGGACCATACCCACCGGGTCCCATGGGCATTCCCGGACCAGGTGTGGACCTCGGCATCGGCGGGGCGTAGGAGCCATTGGAGCCGGCCGTCAAAGAACGGTTCCTGCCCGTCGGGGGTCTAACCGCAGGCGACTGAGTACGACCAGGCATGTCATAGGACATGTTGGCCGCGCTGCCGAGCAATGGCGCGTCAGACTGGTAGCTTGCCGCAGACCAGCCGGAAGCCTCGGTGTCGGACCTGGGGGGCATGCCGGGGCGCTGCATATCTTCGCCAAGAGAGGGAAGAGTCGGCTGTCTGGGCATTGGGGGCGGGCGGTGCATGGTCGTAGCGCTGCCAGGGGTGTTCGATCGGGTGGGAGGTTGGGAAGAGTAAGGCGGCAGCGTCGTCATCGTCGCCATCGTAGACCCGGTATCGCTCCGCTTGAACTCGAATTCGGCCTTCTCGTTGACGGGAGTCGAAAGAACGGGGAGTGTGGGCTTTCTCGGAACAACGTGGCGCGGGGCATTGGGAGGTTGTTGTTGGCGGCCAGCAGCGGGCTGCAGTTTGCCTCTCTGCTGGCGATTTTGCTGGGCCCGATTTGCGCGCTCCTCGCTCTTGATTGCCATTTCCTCCTCCTTTCTCCTCTTTTCGATTTCATGCTCAATGGCCGCCTTTGTCTTAGCGCTGACGATACGTTCCAGCCTCTTGTCAACTTTGCGCCTGCAGTAGTTGGAAAGGGATCCATCCTTGCTAGGAACGTAATGCCAGAGAAATACCACATAAGTAACGGCCGCGAGGAATAGAGAGAGCGCCGAAAAAACCCAAATGACGAGGGTGAACGCCATGGAACCCAGGATGACAGCCTGTTGCTTGTCCTGCTCGGCAAGTGCTTCAACGTTGTTCCAGAACTGGTCGATCGCGCTGGTGCTGCCGGTCGCAGCATGTTTGCCTTCCAGAAGAATATTGGCTTTCATGACGGCCCAAAGGGTCATCGCATTGACGACTTGACGAGGTCCTTCGGCGAGAATAACACGAACGGCTCCTTTGAACTGGAAGTAGACGAAAAGCGCAAGGTAGTCAGAACCTTTTTTACTTTTCGTCAGTTCCGCGAAGACCAGGAATCTTCTCCAACCATGGCCACCGCTGTAGATGCGAGAGCTCTGAAGGGTAGCTGCGAGCGGGTCAAGATAGCTGTCCGCCACGTTACCACCGCGGATGACGCGCATGGCGCGGACCCATTCGAAGATGCAGAGAACCCAGGAAAACATGATACAGCCGGTGAAGATCCATTTGGAGATGCTGACTTTGATGGCAGGGTCCACTTGACTGGACCACTTGTTGAAGGCGAGAAGGTTAACGGCAGTGAAGGTGTCGGCGACATAGACAGCGATGGCTATGGCGCTCAGACACCAAAGCCAGACGTAGGAGAGCTTTGCCTTGGTGGATGATGTTCTGAAGTCGGTCAGAGTCTGGCAGCAGGTCAGTGGACGTCACGCTCAGCCTTTTGGAGAGTCGAGCTTACAATGTAGTCCCACTTCTGCTCCTCGAGCTCGGAGCGGCCGTCATTGCGGCCTCTACCAAAACAGCCCATGATGGCGGCTGTCTGGATATTAAAAGATCAGTGCAAAGTTGAAAGCAGTAGGTAGACTTCAGGCCGGCTGAGGTCTGCGTACGTGCCTGAAGGATTGGCGGGGAATCGTAGTGAAGTGAAGAGCGGTAGCGTCGAGCTACCCTCTCAAAGGAGCGTGGACGGAGAGGTCCCAGACCTCTCGAGTCGGGATGGAGGCCGGACGGATCGGGGCAGGCCAGCTGCAGTGGGATCCGCCTCGGTATCGATAGCTAAGGAATGGACGCTGAGCGAAAGGCGTGAAGAAGCGTGCGTGCAGAGGACTCGCTACGAACGGGTCGTCGGACGAGGAATGAGCATGACGCGGGTAAGGCGGGCTTTTCTGCGGCGCGAGCCGTTTGATGTGCGCGCCGCCACGGACAAAGGAATGTGGCGCAGTGGAGAATAAAGGCAGAGCAGAAGAATGTGATGCGCCGGGATGGACGGCGGCGCAATGGACCAACAAAAGAGTGAACGGGTGGCAGGAAAAGGCACGGTTTATGAGAGAGGGTAGCAGAGTGGGCGGCAATGGACGTGGTAGGAACAGGAGGGGAGGCCAATCTTCGCGCCCGCTTCAGCCTTCTTTTGGGGTTGGCCCTGCCCATCTGCGCTTCATCGCCGCGCCTGACGTTTGAGCTGGTTGGCTTGTCACACGGGCGCGAGCCGCGCACGCCCAATCATTCACTCGTCCCCAGTGCCTCTAGTCGCACATCCCTCGAACGATTGGAGCTTGCGCCCTCACACCTGCGACCGGGCGGTGAACTGTTTGCTCGTCCACCTCTCTGCTGGCCGCTTCTCCACGGCCTCTTGCGACACCGCGCAGTAGCGGCCGCGAAATTGACAGGCCCACCCCATGCTGCCCCCAGGCGCGCCGACTCGCCGATTGTTTCCCGCACCAGATCAAACACCGAATTGATTATGGGGACCCTTTCTACTATTCGCCAGCTGTTGGTCCGCGCGCCATCTTATTGCCGATGCCCGTCTTATCTTATGCCTTGTCACGTTTCGCAAATTTGCGTATTCGCAAGCAATTTCCTCCCCCCACGTGATACACTACACGTGTATTCTCATGGCTAAACTCTTTCAACTTCACATCCTTTGTGTGTTCGTATAACATATCCCCATGCTCTTTCTTGTATAGCTAATCACCTACCCTCGTGCCTTGTCGAACAAACATATTCGTACCCTCGCATCTTCTTACCTTCATAGCCGCCATGCAGCATTGCAATCATGTACTTGCAACTACCGAGCGCAGCATTACAGCTATGCATTTGCAACTGCCGAAGGTGCGCTTGCGAGGTATAGCAGACCTATTAACGGGCGGTCAGAGGGCGGGCAAAACACATATAGCCAACGAAAAAAAGGGTGAACAGAATTAGCCGAAGCGTTGCGCAATGTGTAATGTGAATCTTCATCCATTTCATAACTCCCTTTCCCTACGGGACCGTTGGAATACTGCCCACGTCTAGAATTTATACAAAGCTTTTACTCCACTGCAAGAAAACATTCTACAACTCATCGTGGCCGCTAGGCTCATCATCGTCGTAGTCGGGCATGCCGCCAGCACCGCCGCCGTAAAGCTTGCTGGTGATGGGGTAGGCCACGTTGGACAACTTCTCCTTCTGCTCCTCAAAGTCCTCGGCCGTAGCCTCGGCAGCGTTCTCGTCGAGCCAGTCCTGCGCCTCCTTGACAGCCTCCATGATCTGTTGCGCCACATTAGCGATCGTCGCGAATTATCAATGCGTCCGGGAACACTTACAGTCTCCTTATCATCCTCGTCGATCTTACCGCCAAGGCCATCCTCGTCGTTGACCTGGTTCTTGAGGCTGAAGGCATAGTTCTCAAGGCCGTTCCTGGCCTCGATCCTCTCGCGGGTGGCCTTGTCCTCCTCGGCGTACTTCTCAGCCTCAGCGACCATGCGCTCGATTTCCTCGGTGGACAGACGACCCTTGTCGTTGGTGATGGTGATGGACTCGGACTTGCCGGTGCCCTTGTCACCAGCAGAGACCTTCAGGATACCGTTGGCGTCCAGCTCGAAGGAAACCTCGATCTGGGGAACGCCACGGGGCGCCGGGGGGATGCCGGTGAGCTCGAACTTGCCGAGAAGGTTGTTGTCCTTGGTCATCGAACGCTCACCCTCGTAGACCTGGATCAGGACGACGGGCTGGTTATCGGCGGCGGTGGAGAAGATCTGGCTCTTGCGGGTGGGGATGGTGGTGCCACGCTTGATGAGGTGGGTCATGACACCGCCGGTGGTCTCGATACCAAGAGTAAGAGGGTTGACATCCATGAGGACCATGCCAGTGGCCTCCTCCTCGCCGGAAAGAATACCACCCTGGACGGCAGCACCGTAGGCAACAGCCTCGTCGGGGTTGACGTCCTTCCTGGCCTTCTTTCCGAAGAACTCCTCAAGCATCGCCTGGACCTTGGGGATACGAGTGGAACCACCAACAAGGACAATGTCGTCAATCTCGCTCTTCTTGAGCTTGGCGTCCTTCAGGACCTGCTCGACAGGCTTGAGAGTCTTCTTGAAGAGATCGTTGTTGAGCTCCTCGAACTTGGCGCGGGTCAGGGTCTCGGAGAAGTCGTTGCCCTCGAAGAAGGACTCGATCTCAATCTTGGTGGACATCTGGGAGGACCTTTGCGAGGTTAGAACGCAGTGCAAGGTATAGGCGCCGAGGGAACCACTTACAGAGTACGCTTGGCCTTCTCAACCTCGCGCTTTAGCTTACCCATGGTCTTGGGGTTCTTGGTGATGTCGACGTTGTTCTTCTTGTTGTATTGCTTGGCGAAGTAGCTGATGACACGGTTGTCAAAGTCCTCACCACCAAGGTGAGTGTCACCGGCGGTAGCCTGGACCTCGAAAACACCCTCGTCGACAGTGAGGATGGAAACATCGAAAGTACCACCACCAAGGTCGTAGACGATGATCTGGCGCTCGTTCTTGTCCTCCTTCTTGTCGAGACCGTAGGCCAGAGCGGCCGCGGTGGGCTCGTTGACGACACGGAGAACGTTCAGGCCAGCGATGGTGCCGGCGTCCTTGGTCGCGGCACGCTGAGCGTCGTTGAAGTAGGCGGGGACAGTGACAACGGCGTTCTGGACAGTCTCGCCGAGGTAGCTCTCAGCAACCTCCTTCATCTTGCCCAAGACCATGGCGGAGATTTCCTCGGGCGTGAAAGCCTTCTGCTCGCCCTTGACCTCGACATCGACACGGGGCTGGCCGTTCTTGTTGACAATCTTGAAGGGGAAGTGCTTGATGTCGTTCTGGACGTCCTTCTCGCTGTACTTGCGACCGATCAGACGCTTGATGTCGAAGATGGTGCGGCCGGGGTTCGAGGCGTCTGTGCAAATGTCAGAGGATTGCCGGAGTGTAGCTTTGTCGTGGAAACTTACATTGGTTCTTAGCGGCGTCACCGACAAGACGCTCCTCATCGGTGAAGGCGACCCAAGACGGCGTGATACGGTTACCCTGGTCATTGACAATAATCTCGACCTTGCCACCTTTCATGACACCCACACAGGAGTAGGTGGTTCCCAGATCAATACCAATGACAGGACCCTTGACGGCGTTGTCGTCGGACTGCGCCTTGGCGGTGCCGAAGAGCACCATCGGGGCGCAGATGACGAGGAGGAGATAGAGGACGGTCGTCCATTGAAAGCGCGACGAGGCGCCGCTTGACCGCCGAGCCATGTCGAACGGCGGGTGGTTGTTGACTGAGGGAGAGGTGTACTGTTGCGCAAGGAAAACGATGGGGTATCTAGAGAATTAAGACTGCAGCGCCCAGCAGCAGACAAGAAGGGAAGGGAGGATGGGGATCAGTGAAAGGAAGGAGGAAGAGGTGCGATCGAGCTACCAGTTTGCTTTATGTAGGTACGCTGTCTTCAGACACCGTTGCCTTTTCAACAATCACCATCGCCGCCTCCGATCCTATCCTTATGCGGCTTAGCGTCGGGGCTGCGCGCAGGCTTTGGCCGCAATCTGGCTTTCTGCCATCTGTCCTCTACAGCTTGAAACTTCGAGAAGGCGACCCGTTTGAACATGAAAAGCTTGGCGTCGCCTCCGGCCAAGTGTCCACTCGTGCCACTGCAAACATCGCCTCCATCTCTTCATCATGGCCTGCCTCTTCACACTTCTGCAACGTGGTCCTTACATGATCCACAGTCCAGGTACCTAGCTCGTTTCCGGGGTATGGGAGCCTCCTCCTTCCTTGCAGCACAGCCTGAAGTGCCTGAGTAACCCATATTTTTGCCTCTCGCTCCATCACCATGTCTTGGAGCATTGAGCACACCTACAAACGGGCACTTCTTTAATTGTAGCTGCTTGCCGCTACTGTGCTATGGATTTTTCTTTCAAGTTGGCCTACAACAGCAAACTATACAAGAATCATCCAAATATAAAACATTGTTTGCATTCTCCAAACGGCAGGCTACAATGGCAAAATCATGCAAGGAACAGTTTACTGGCAATAGGCAAACCCGGGGTCACATTGCCTCCAACAAAAAACCAGATGAAACCAGAAATACTAACAATGAACCAAGACGGCATCCTACTATGTCCCAATCTTTTCATATATCTCTGGGCATTGTTGATAGGCAATGAAATATATCACCAGGCGACAGTCGAAACAAGTTCGGTATCCATCTCTACTTCATCCAAATCTACTTCTGTGCCGTTTTTCTTTGCTATAGCATTCTCATACGGCTGTCGGTCTACTTATTAGAAATCTCAATTTCCCATTCATACTGCAAGCTCAGAAACGATTGCCATGACGAACAGCATCAACAGCTGTGAATCAGCCGGCTCCAAGTCGCCGTCAACCATCTCAGGCTTTCCCATGCCATACACCACAGATTCGGAGCCACAGACGTCGTCCTCAACGCTAATAATCATCACGGAATTCCTTGATGTGTTGTCAGACTTAGAATCTAGTCTGGATACGATCCTGTCCGAAGAGACCTCTTCAACATCTACATCGACGGTATCTTCAAGTCTATGGAATCTTTCAACACATTCATCCGAAAAGTACTCTTCGTCGCTTGGACAGACTTCGTCGTAGTCGACTTCTCGAATTTTTCGACGAGATGGGGTCTTCCTCATCGCTGTTTTCTTCAAGACTCAGCCATATTCACAAACTTCAAGTCTCCTTTTTCGTTTTCTGAAAGACGGGCCTCCATGCCTTTGGCTGCTTTGTCCATTTCTTTCTGGCCCATGACACTCAGTTCTGACTCCTTCCAGCCGTGCAATCCGTGGAAGAGAAGGGGGATTAGGCTTGATTTCCATAGTGGTGCTTTGTGGCTTATGAATATTGTTGCGGTGAAGAAGATGGCTGTGAGAAGGACGAGGACACTGGGTAGGATAATCCAGGGCCAGCGGATTATAATGTAGGTTTCGGGGACCCATGCTGTTCCGGTGGCCGTGGTGCTGCTGTTGGGTGCTACTCGTATCAAGTTGTTCATGTTCTCCAAGATGTTTAGTAGTGATTTTTGGGGATCGTTGTTTCGCTGTAGGGGATATGTGAAGTCTAAATGGCCATCAAAAGCGTTGTCCTGGCCAAATAGCCTCTCAAATAGTCCCAATATGTTTGACATTCCTGATCGTCCGATTGTTACCGCCTCCCGTCCTTCTGGTCGGGTGCGAGGATTGTAATTATCTACTGGCGGAAAAATAAAGGCGCTGTCAACATCATCGATACGTTGTGTCTTGTTTTGGTGAATGGGTATATTATGTACGACGGGTGTCGTCATAGAACCGTTTGTCTTTACAACTCTAAGCATCAACTGTGTTGTCATAATGTACAAGATTACTTACCACTTTAAGATTTTCGTAGGTTTTCAAGCACCAGTAGATCTGGCACTCGGTCATTTTTTCTACTCGTGATGAACAAAGGTCGCCCTTTTCGAAATTTTCAAAATGAAAGGGAGGTATGCCCAGCCAACCAACTACGACTGCAAAGCCTGAGGCATTGAATGGTACACCGGACACCATACTACTGTCGTATTTGTATTGGCTAGACGAACCTAAGATATAGCCTTCCTTATAATCTCTGGTCTTGGATTCCAGATGGGAATTCCCCAAAGCCTGGTCTATCGAGCCTTCGGTCTGGAGACAATATTTCTCCACAGTGGTAAACGAGGCATTGTTCGGAGAGGTATATTTGTGTGTAATTTCAACGTGTCTACCTGCATCGAAATTTGCTGGCGGCCATTGCGTGCAGTTTGATATTAGTGTACCATTTCTAATATCAGCAATGCAATCGATTCCTAGGGATTTAGTATCTGTATAGCATCCCGATTCCTGTGGTTTCCAGATTTTCATCGTTATCCATGAACGCACAGTATCATTGGTGATATCTGCACATGAGCCGCAGAGTGCAAGAGACGTAACATTTGGCCACGTACAATTACCACTAGGGCAGTTGAAGGGCAGAGCAGCATTGACCTCGAAGAGGCCGTTGAGCAAGGTACCCTGCATTGCGTGAACTAATAACTAAGTTAGCGTTCCAGTCTGCGGATATTCTCATATCTACTACTCGCCATGATATGCCCATTCACTGGTCCATTCACTGGATGATGCGTTGTACTTATAAGCTACGGGTACCGTAGCGGTTTGATGACCGGGAACATAACGGGTCTCGTAAGAAATGATAAGTTGTCCAAAAGGTTCCATGGCTAGAGCAACTATCGTGATGAAGGCACCCAAACAAACGAAGAGGGATCGGCCCCGTACATGGTAAAGGAACAGAACCGAGCCCCACGGACCTCTGCTTGCTCGGTCAAAGTGTTCGAGATCGTCCAGTGGACGGCCGGACGCCGTTTTTTCGAAGTGCAGCCATTTCAGCTCACTGATGCTTTCGGCGACAACCAAGAGCATCGACGATTTTATGACAGTTATAAATGCAGATAAAATGGTGTTCGGAGGTACTGATACTGGCCACTTCGATAATGGCTTGTCGTGTATCAGAGGAAGCAGGACGATGATGGCGATCATGCAGGCGATGCTCAGAACGATGCCGCTCAGTTCCCAGGGCCATATATTTTGGATTGCGACAGTCAATGGCGTTTTGCCAGCGGGTTTGAAATCTGGATGATCGTTGTTTGGGTTTTCCGTGTCTGTACCGACATGGTCCGAAGAGTGTGTATGTGATATTTTCCTAGTCAAGGTCGATTCAGTTCTTAGTCGGTGCTTTGATTCGTGGCTGAGAACGTGGATGAATTCGGGCGTATGAGGAATTGAGAACATTGGTCATTGGACTGATTCGGATTTGCTGAATCCGTCGAACTCCGGCTTCCGGGTGTATTATTCTCGATTGACGGCAGGGAGGACTGAAGCATATCATGGATTTCATTTGGTGTTGTGTCAGATTCATTTCCCGTAGAGTCTTGGAAGTGGGCCATGATTACGGTGGAGAGGAAGATGGCATGTAATTGAACGGTGCTATTAAGAACGAGGTATCAATAAGATGGAGAGAGAAGGAACACATGCGAATGTTAAAATAAATATACGGTTGTTATTTTTAGGCTTCAGCTATGCGGGGCTTCAATAAAACCATATGCATCACTGACGTATCCTCAGATCAGCTCTCTAAAATTGGTAGTGGTTCAACTGACTGGCCTAATTAACTTCACTTACTGACTGACAACTCTTCGGCCCATCAAGTTATCGGAAACAAGTCTCGTCGAGAATCAAGATAAATAATAAAGCTTTTTCGTGTACACCTTTCCCAAATACAAAAGTCCAACCTATAGTTACATCACCTTGGGTGACAAGAAGATCCTCTCTTGTTCTGGACACTCTAGTTTCTAGGTGCAGCTCGCTTCTGCATAACCCTTGTTACGAGAAGCTGTGTAAGCACGCTAAGCGGCGGGATGAGCTTGCCGGTGCCCTTGTAACGTCCTTCACCCATAAACGAACCTCACCGTTCAGCGAACCCCGCCAATCAAAACGCGGAAGGACCCACATCATGCTCTAATCGCTGAACGGTGAGATTCATTTATAGGTGAAGGACGTTAAAGTCTGCAAATTAAACGAAAAGAAAGGGGGCCGTCGTTACTTACAGAGCTGTTGTCCAGTGCACTTAGAAGAAGCCTTTTCCAAGATTCGATAATTTTTCTCATTAGCGTACCTTGTAGGAGGGAACGCCTCAGTGACGAAACTAAAATTGTGTTTTATGGCTTTCAGTGAGTGTTTACCTCTATAGGGCACACTTAAGGACGCCGTAAACTTATATGGTGGCTCAAACTACACGTATCAATAGGCGGACGGTGTCAGTAACGGCAACAGAATAGCATAGTCAACTCATCACAATTTCCCCTCTTTCAGCGTAATACCACCTCTCACATCCTCACTCAGCTCCCCATGTACCTCCCGAATCCATCCTCCCAACCTCGCACTCGCCGCCGCATCAACAAACTCTACACTCTCTTTAATCAGCACGCCATCCACACCGCCCGGCACCTCCTCCTCGTCCGTAAACCTCAACAACCAAACCAGATCGTTCTCGACCGTCTCCTCCGACCCCTTTGGCGAGAGGAAATAGCTCATATGCACCGTCGCGCTGCGCGCGTGCTCGTCGACAGTAATGCTGTGCACGACTGAGCGCGATGCTGAGATGTACTTCCCCGTCGACAGTAAATGTGCTTTGAACGCTGCGTTGTCCATGCGCTCTTGTAGCCGTGCGTTGCGCGAGACGAGGTAGTTGTGGCCCCAGGCGTGGACGGCGTTGGGGGCGCGGATGGAGAGGATATGATCGAGGGATCGGGGGGTTGCGTGCGCTTGGGCAAGGGTGTGCAGTTTGGTGTAGAGGATGGATGGAGCCATGGGTTTGGTGGGCTTGCTTGTGCTCTGATAATGGTTTGCTTCTGTTTAAGTAGGGACTGCTTGTATCGTTCTCTATCTCGCTAAACAGTAGACGATAAGAGATATTAGGTGACGGGCGTATGTGTTTTAAGATCTCCTCGGTTATAGCCAGATAAAGAGTACTCGGTAGGGACTGCTTGTGTTGTGTTGTGATGGACGTTGGCAAGGCGGTGAGGGAGAGATTTACACGTGACCGGGCAAAAAATGACGGAAGGTGCCGCGCTGAACTTCTCCACCTTCCGCTCTGCGTTTGCTCTCGCGACACCGGAACACAAGCACATCTCACCCACGCGCGCAGTTTTATCGCTCTGCTGCCCCACGATCGCAGGCATACTTCGCATTGACTCGGCCCTCTACGGCCCACGAAAGCGCTGAGGACAGGCCTCTTGCGCGCGCGAGGAAAGCTGCTGTCGCATCCGCTCTCTCCCACGACATCGCACGACCCTCTTCACTTCACTTCAAACGGCGCGGAGGGAGGATTCTTGTGGGGCTGCGGCGCTTGGCTGTTCATTTCATGCTTGCCGTCTGATCTTGTGTCGCATCTGTCATTCAATCCGTAGTAGCAAGCTGTGAAGCCCTTCAGAGAGCGAGAGACATCACGCATTTGAGCCCATCGCATCGACCACCTACGCCCTTTTCGTCCGTGACGTGTTGAGTGTCGCGCTTCATCATGGCCGGTAAGCAATTGTTCCATGACGCGTCTGCAACACCACGCCGCGAACAACGCGTCTCCACCAACACATTGACGCGTCGCAGACTGCTAACTTCGCCCTGCTACAGACGAGATCCGCCGCTCAGGCCGCGCCACAAAGGGCCAACACACCAAAGACCGCGACCTCGACAGCGCTCCCGTCCCCAAACGCGCCGGCAAAGCCCAGTCCAAAAAGGCCGCCAAGGCGAAGGAGCCCGAGCCCGAGGAAGAGAATGCCGAGGACGCCATCATACGCTGCATCTGCGGCTCCGACGACGATGACGAGGGCGGCCGCATGATGATCTGCTGCGATAACTGCGACGCGTGGCAACACAATGACTGCATGGGCTTGTCGGAGAAGGAAGAGGACCAACCGGACGGTTATCTCTGCGAGCAGTGCAATCCTGACAACCACCGAGAGACTGTGGACGCCCTGGAGAAGGGCATTAAGATTTGGGAGGTCAGGTTAGAAGAGAAGAGGAACCGGTCGAAAAAGCCCAAGAAGGGCACCAAGAAGTCGCGCAAGAGCGAAGTAAAGTCGGTAGTGACCGAGGAGACAGTGAGCCCTAAAGCTCAAGTGTCGAGCCCCGCTCCTCCGTCATCGCAAAGCGCCAGCAAGCAAGAGCCGGAAGAGAAGGCCGCAAATGGCAACACCGAGGTAAGTAATTTGAAAAACACTTTTACTATGGAAATGTACGGTGTACATTTTCATGATCAACTTAACTCGCCATCAATTAGCACTATGTCAATGGCTGACCGCGACACAGCAGATCCTCAGCCCGACCGCAGTGGCGGTGGGTGAGAAGAGACGCAACGAAGCCGGCGCGGATTCAGTACCAAAGCGGCGCAAATCAAGCGCGCCGAAGAAATCTGAGCCTCCGACGCCCGAGGTCCCGGAAGTGTCGAAGCCGGAAACCATCGATGACTTACCTAGTGACCGCAAGCGCGTGGCAAGCAAACTCCAAAACGATTTGACCCGACTCATCGCCGATTCCTCAAAACACGAATATGAAGTACCAGAGGGACAGACTGCGGAGTCTCTCAGCGCCAAGCATGCCTTGGATATTGAGGGCAGCTTGACGCAGCACTATGGCAGCACCACCAGTTACGCACCTCAATTCAGGAGCATCTCCGCCAACATAGGCAGAAACCCCAAGCTCTTGACTCACCTATTGAATGGCACTCTGTCTGCAGAAGAGCTGGCCCGCATGGACCCCAACGAAATGGCCAGCGACGAGCAAAAGCGTAAAGACGCGTTGCTTAAGGAGCAGGTAGAGAAGCAGTCCGTTTTGGTCAACGAGGAAGGTCCTCGATACCGTAAAACCCATAAGGGCGAAGAAGTTATTGACGATGCCCACGAACGCTACAACGAAAACACGTACATCCCTCCACCAGTCGAACGCCGCGAGAGTCAGCTGGAGAAAGAGCGGTCTGCCAGCCCCCGAGAAGGCGGCAGCCCCATGCAGGTCGAGTTACCCGAAGACGTCGGTACCCGGCAGCCCCTGCATGTCGACACCGATGCGCCAAGGAGGTCATCTTCAAACTTCAACCTCGACAGCGTGTGGTCAAAGGTCCACTCACCCGATGAGAACCAACAACGCCAGCAAAAGCACCGCCGTCAAAGCTCGGTGCAACAGCAACAACAGCAGCAGGCGTCCGGTCCCGGTGTAGACCCAGATATCGACCGCCTGTTAGAAAACGACGACAACGACGCCGCGCCCTACTCGCCTGCCATTGGCAACGACCACGACATCCGGTGGCGAGGCGAGCTCGAGATGCCGCAGATCGGTGGCTTCCGCGCCGTTGCCCGCTACGCCGGCGGCGGTGATGTAGGTGTGCTGATACCCTACGACCAACTAGTGCCGCAGCCCACCCAGATCAACGGGCGGATCGAGGTTGCGCGAACGGAAGAGTACATTGCGGGGATGCGCGCAAGTCAGATGCACGATGTGGTGATCCTATCGCTACACCCCGAGAGCGCCGAGGGCAAGGCGGGCTTCGACGGCATCTTCAACTACTTCTTCCCGCGCAACCGGTGGGGTGTGATCGGCGCTGGGCGGCGGCACGAGCGCGTCCGCGACGTCTACGTCATCCCCATAGCGGCGGGGGCGGGCACGCTGCCCGCGTGCATCGAGCTGCTCGACCATGTCAACATCGAAGTGCCGCGCCCAGACAACATGCTCCTGCTGATGCTGGTGGTACGGACGGGCGACGACCCGCGCTCCGCGCAAGGCACGCCACGGCAAGCCGAGCTCCCGACGGGCGGGTTCGGTGGCAGCAGCGGAGGAGGAGGAGGCGCGCCAGGCGCCCCGCCCATGGTGCCCGGGCAAGGGACGGCGCAGCCGCAGCCGCCAACGCCGCAGATGCCCACGCCCATCGCCAGCCAGCCCGGCGGCGGGTACCACCTCCCGACCGCGCACGCGGCATCGCCCATCAACGCGCTGCCGCCGTTCAGCTCGCCGCAGATGGTGCCGCAGCCGCAGCCGCAGCCACAGCCACAGCACTCGCTGCCGGCGCCCTTCCACCCCGCCATGCTCCCCGCGCTGCAGCCGCACCCCGAGCAGCGCAACGTGTCGCCGCCGCGGCCGCTGCCGCAGCACGCGCTGCCGACAGCCTATGGCCACGCGCATTCCCCGATCGCGGCGGCCGCCGCCGCTGCACCGGTTTCGCCGGCGCTGCAGGAACTCGCGGCGCGCATTCTTGGCCCGTTTGTTGCGAGCCCCGTCGTTCAGACTTTGCTGTCCTATGCGGGCGAGAGCATGAAGGAGGAGAGTCTGGTCGGGCTGAAGACGGTGCTGGATGTGGTGCCTGCGGCGAGAGAGAACTGGGAGGTTTTGATTAAGGAACTGAATCGGGGCGGGTAAGGGGGGTTATTGGTGGGTTAGTTAAAAAGCTGAGGCGGGCGGACTGGGATGGGATGGGATGGGCGCGGGATTGCTTGGCAGGATGGGACGAGACGAGAGGGGATGGGACGGCGGAGCGCTGGCTGCCGGGAGGGTAGTAAAGAGGACGGTTGAGTACGCTCTCCACGCACTCTACGCACCTACGGCTTAAGTCAGGTCAGGTCAGGTTGGCTAGCCAAGCATCACGAGGAGTCGAAGGGAAGGGCCGGACGAACAAGGGGTGTGGGAGTCGGCGGCGAAAAAAAGGCGCTAGGGGCGGGGCGGGGGCGGGGCGTGGTCTTTTTTGCTTTGTTACGTTGCTCTCTCTCTCTCTGTGTGTGGATTGTCTCTCTCTCCTTCGCTTGCTTTTTGCTCGCTCTCTACGTATGTTACGCATTTTTCCCTCTCTCCCTCTCCCTCTTTCGACGGTTTGTGCTGCTGTTTTTGTGTTGCCGTTGCGGGTTGCTGTGGCTGTTGCTGGTTGGTTGGTTCTGTTCTTGTTTCTTTTTTTGTGCGGTGGCTTTGGCTTGGGCTTGTGCTTGTGCTTGAGCTTGAGCTCGTCTTTTTCTTCTTCTTGTTGTTGGTTTCTGCGCCTGGATTGCTGCCGGGGCCGGCACCATGCCGTTCTCTGGCGCTGAGGCGGGACGAGGAGCCATGAAGACATGTGTGGTTTTGCTGCTGCTGCTGTTGCCATTGTCGTCGATGAAACACGCTGGCTGGCTGTGGAGCACGTGGGAGGCGGAGGCGGAGGTGGAGGCGGTGCCGCCTGCGTGTGTCTGGCTGCTACCTACCTAGGACAGAAGAGAGGGGGGTCTGTGTTGTACGAGTATGTCTAGCTTTTCTTTTTTCTTATATTTCGTTGAGTCGATGCCGACGCCGTAATGGGATTAATTGTTGATGATGCTTTTGTTTTGTCTGGCTGTGGGCTGTGGCTGTGGTTCTCTGGGATGTGATGTGTGTGATGTGAGGCTCTGCCACTGTGGTGATGGGTGGAGGCGCTGTCCATTACGCCATGGCCTACCGTGGCTGGGTGTGGCTTTTGCTGCTGCGCATGGGTACCACGTACGTACCTCCCTGCCCACCTGCCTAGCTACGTACTCTACACACAGGTTGTCTCCAGCACTAACAGCACAGCCACGCCTTCATACTTGTACGCGCATAGCCACCACAACGCCTCCATCGCGCTATCTGCCCACAGCACAGCCCACCTATCCTATCCGGTCAGCTAAGCCTAACCACCCAATCTCCTTTCTGAGCCGCAAGCACGCCATCGTCATCGTCGTCGCCGTCGTCGTCGTCGTTGTCGTCACTACGGCGGAGATGCGCAGACGGGTCGACGTGCTCTGCATACACTCATAAGCTGTGACTGTGCGCTGGCTACATGACATGGCACAACACGGCACGATACGGCACGGCACGGCACGGCACGGCAGACACTGAGGCGACGGGCTGCTGTTTGCGGTGATGCTGCGTGTACATGTACATGTATATGTGTATGTATATGTTGCTTCACGCGTACACGGCAAGGTCTGTTTGCTGGGTGGTAAGTGGGTGTCGTGGGTGCGTAGTAGGGCGGGTGCGTGAGGGGGACGAGGGTGAGGGGGTTGTTGCGGTTGTACGGCGTGTATGTGTTGTGTGTTGTGTGGTGACTGGTTGTCTGGGGGTAAGGGTACGTGCAGCGTGCCAGAAGTGTCAGTGCCAGTGTATGCATGCGAGTATGCGTGCGTGCATGTGGGAGATAATGTACACACGTAGGCATTGAGCCGGGATTAGGCCTGGATGATGTATGTATGTATGTAAGTACATACATTCACGCACACACATAGATTATGTGCGCGTGGAGATAGGTAGGACATTCCGCATTCCACCACCGAAGCTGCATCGCGGTCCAACAATCCCAGCCGGGGATACTTACATATATAAGTACGTACATACATACATACAGACAGACAGACAGATAAGCAAGACAGCAGCGCGAAACCTAACCACAACGTCAGTCCCAAAAAGGCAATAATGACGGCGTCGACACGCCTCTACAAGCCCACGCATCCCCATCCCTCCCTCTACAGATACGCCTCACCCCTCACCCCTCACCCCTCACCCCTCACCCCTCACCCCGTACCCCGTACCCCGTACCGCCCCCGCCAGGGCCGCCGTCCTAGCACGAGCACAACACAACACAACACCAAAGCACGCACGCCCCCCTCCCTCCATTCTGCACCCCAAACCCGGTCGCAGAACCCTGTCCACGCCCACATACACACACATACACACACTTATACGCACACATACATACATACACACGCACACGCACCACATCACTGCACACTGCGCACTGCACATACAGCCTGCGCGTGCGTACGCACGTCAGCAGCACCACCGATAGCGACAGCGGCAGGCAGGGTTCTGTAGGGAAAAAGACAGGACAGGACAGAACGGGATGGCCCCGCCACGCACTGCTTTGACACGTGCAGGTAGCCGCTGGCGTGCGCGGGGCTTGTGCGACCTACCTACTGGTGGCGCTGGTCTTGTTTTCTGGTGTAGGCGTGTGTGTGTGTGTGTGTGGAAGGGAGGACTGCTGGCATGAGGGTATGGCTGGACTGGCGGCGTGCTTGCTAACTTACTTACTAAGTGAGGGGAGTGGGTGGACAAACGTATATGGATGAAAATGTACGGAGTACGTTATCATATGAACATATCGAGTAGTAGGCTCTACTTGGCTTTAGGTCAAGCAAACATATTCATTGTTAAATCAAAACGTACGGCATATATTTCGCTTCTAGAAAGCGAAGACTGAAGACAGGCAAATGAGTGAGCAACAACAAGGTTGGTTACCTAGTTACTCCCACAACACTAACGACGACGATGACAACAACGCGTATACCATGCGAGAACCCAGCCTCAGCACAGCACCCAACAACCCAAACGTTATTTCCTTTCCTATTCCTTTCCTATCCCTTCCCCTTTTCTTTCCTTTCCTTCCTTTCTCCACCACCCCCAGCAACCCAAGCAGCGAAAACGAAAGCGAAATCAAAAGCCCCAAAGCAAAAAAGACGACGAGAGGCCTACAAAACAACAACACTAGCCTCCAGCACGCCCTCGGGCGCAATCAAGCCCGCGACCACATCCGCGCCCACCGCGCGATCAACGCCTAGAATCATCAGGGACTCGTTCTGGCGCCTGACGTTTCTGACGGGACCGCCATCTGCATCGGTTTCTGCTTCTTTCGCAGCACCACTCCCCCCAACACCACTCCCCCCAACACCACTCCCCTCACTGACACCAACACTGCTCCCACCATTCCCCTCAGCCCGCCCAACCCCCTGTGGCACCAGCGCCGCCTCCCCACCCGCATCAACCAACGGCGCAACAATCATGCTGCTGATATTAACGCCCGCGCGCCCCAGCCGAGACCCGACAAAGCCAATCTTCCCGCACGAGTCAAAGTTGCGACAGATGAGCAGGGTGCCCTCGGGCACGAAATTGGCCACGAACCGGTCCAGCCGGCTGATGTACGGCGTATCGGCCGAGACGAAGCCCTGGATGACCTGGTCTTCTTCTTTTGCTGCCACACCTCCCATACCACCCCCAACACCACTCACCCCTACCGCACCTCCCACGCCCCCAACAGCGCCCCCACTCTGCCTCAACTCGCCAGCACCACCACGGCCCCGTGACCTTGACGGCTCCCTCGCCGGCCTCGCCCGCAGCGTCACACAGCTGGCGTAGCCGCGCTCCCCGCCACTCTCGCGCCTGCGCTGCTCATTCACCAAGATGCCGCGCTCACTCGCAACCAGCTCCGCATTAACAATATTCACAGCCGGCGCATCCGCGCCACTAATCGGCGCCAAAAGGCCCTTAATCAGCGCCGCGAACAGCGGCTTCGTGGTACCCATCTCCGCAAGATGGCCCTCGTACACCAGGTCGAACGTCGAGCGGACCCCCGCCCTCCCGCGGCTATAGTGCTGCGTGTACAGCGCGCCCATTTTCTCAACCAGCGAGACGAAGGGCTGCAGGGCGCGGTACTCGTCGGGCAGGATGAGGGGGGCATTGACGGCGGAGCGGGGCAGCTCGCCCGCCAGGATCGAGAGCACCTGCTGGCACACGTCGAGGGAGACGGTTTCCTGGGCCTCGACGGTCGACGCGCCGAGGTGCGGCGTCGCGAGCACGCGGGGATGGGCGACTAGGCGCGCAGCGGGGGAGTTGGGGGCGGGTGGTTCGGTGCTGAAGACGTCGATGGCGGCGCCGGCGAGGGCGTGCGCGTCCAGCGCGTCTGCTAGGGCGGCCTCGTCGATCATCCCGCCTCGCGCGACGTTCAGGATGCGTGCGGATGGCTTCATGGCGCGTAGTTCGGCGGCGCCGATCATGCCTTTGGTTGAGGCGATGAGCGGCGTGTGGATGGTGAGGAAGTCGGCCGCTGTGAGCAGCGCGCTGAGGCTGGGTTGCAGGGTGATGGAGGCGGCGGCGGCGAGCTGCGTATTCGCGTACGGGTCGTAGGCTATGACTTTCATGCCCATGCCGGAGGCGACGCGCGCGACGGTGAGGCCGACTGCGGGGGTGCGTGCGGTTAGTTTGTGCATATGTGTGTGTGTGTGTGTGTGGAGTGGTTTAAGGGGGCCTGCGGTTCAAGCCCGTTTTGCGTACCTTTGCCTGCGCCGACAATCGCCAGCGTCTTCCCCTTCACCTCGACGCCAACGAGTCGACTGCGCTCCCATTTCCCGCTCTTCAGGCTCTGCGTTGCATCGCCGATATTCCTAGCCACAGCCAGCATCACTGGGGGGGGCATCAAGCGCATTAGCCATCACTCTGCCAACAACACCAAACACCAAAACAACCAAACAAACCACTCACAAGCAACCGTATGCTCCGCGGCCGCATTCACATTCCCCACGGGTGAATTCACAACGACCACACCCAACCTCGTCGCAGCCTCAACATCGACATTGTCGACGCCGACGCCCGCTCTCGCCACAACCTTCAGGTTCCTTGCCTTGGCTAGCAGCTCCCCCGTCACCTGCGTCTCGGAGCGCACGATCAGCGCGTCGTACGCGGCGATGATCTCGCCGAGCTCTTGCGCCGAGAGCCCCTTGCGCTCGTCGACGTCGCAGGTCTCGCGCAGCAGGGCTAGCCCGTCTGGAGAGAGTTTTTCGGGGACGAGGATTTTGGCGCGGGGGGGCGTGGGGGTGGAGGTGTCGGGGGAGACGGGGATGGGCATGTTGGTGTTGTGGAACAGAGGGGGGGGGTTGTTGTTTTGGTTTTTCTTCTTGTGCAGTGATAGGAGTATGTGCGATCTAGCTCGGCGGAGGGAGAAAAAAGAAAACTCACTGCGCCCCTCGGGATAGCCGTGCCTTTTGTACCTAGGTCGCTGGCAGATCGTCTGCTGGCTGGGTAACTTACTCTCGCCGTCCGTCAGCTGAGGGCGCGCTGCGCGCTGCTTGCCCACAGTCCCTCTTTACTGCTTTGGGCAAAGAGCGCTACATACCCCGCTCCCGCCCTCTAGCGTCCGCCTATCCAACGTCGCTATACTCGTACGCGCCTCGACCTGCGTCACTAGTACTGCAATCAATCGCACTATGCACGCATTATGCAATTGGGCAAAAACCAAACTTCATTTCATTCGTCCCTCTGATTCGTTTCCTGCGAAGCTTACCAGTTGGCCCGCTGCTTGAGCTTCTCGTTCTGGATCACCTCGATCCAGTAGCCATCAGGGTCTATCGTCTGTCAGCATTGTCGTCTAAATGGCGCAACGGGCCCGTCTTACCAAGGACAAAAGCAATGTTCTTCATGCGGCCGTCGGTCAGCCTCTTCTTCCAGTTGACCTTCTTCTCCTCGAACCTCGCGCACGCCGCGTCCAGGTCGTCGACCGCGACGCAGATGTGCCCGAAGCCCTGGGGCTGGTCGTTGCCGTTGTGGTACTTGAAGTCAGGGTCGGACTCGGTGCCGTAGTTCCACGTCAACTCGAGCAGGCCCTCGTGGTCCGCGACGGCGCTGACGCCCTCGGGGCTCTGCTCCGACGCGTCCGCTCCGTAGCCCAGGAAGTAGAGGTTGAACTTGGCGTCCTTGTTCTCGCTGGTGCGCTTGAGCTTCATGCCCATGACGTCCTGGTAGAATGCGAGCGACTTCTCGTGGTCCTTGACGCGGATCATTGTGTGGTTCTGTAGCTTCGCGTCAGCATCTGGTGCCCCCATCTTCAAGGTCCCACATACCATGCGGTAGGTTCCAACGTCCGTAGTCTTGATGCCCTCGGTCTTGTCGAGCGGGTTCTGCGGGATCAGCTCGACCCAGTAGTTGTCCGGGTCCAGGGCAAAGGCAATGTTCCTCATGCGTCCATCGGTCAGCTTCTTCTGAAAGCCGTAGCCTGCATCCTCCAGCCTCTGGCACGCGGCCTGGATGTTGTCCACCGAGACGCAAACGTGGCCAAAACCCTTGTGCGGCTCCGTGTTGCCGTTCGTGATCTTGTAGTCGGGGTCGTTCTCGGTGCCGTAGTTGTGCGTGAGCTCAATGATGCCCTCGCGGTCGGTCCAGTGCGCGCCGTGCGACACGGCCTTGGGGCTATCGTATGCGAGGAAGTAGAGGTCGAATTTTGCGTCGGGGTTCTCGAGCTTTTGGATCTGCTTCATGCCGAGAAACTCGTAGAACTCAACCGACCGCTTTGGGTCCTTGACGCGAAGCCTGCATCCGGCTGTCAGTATACGAGGCGATGAACATAGCCGGAACAAAACTTACATCGAGTGGTTGAGCTTGTACTTGGTGGGTTCGGTCGCCATGGTCGCGAATGCCTTTGCAAATGCTGAAATTGGGTGGGTGAAGGTCCTGGGACTGCGGAAAGCGGAGGTGTGTAAGGCGAGTCTTGGGAGGGCTAACATGGGGTTTGCTCAATGGTGGCTACGACGAAGTGGGCAGCTCAAATAACAAATGACAAAGTCCACTTATGACGTGGGTCCATCTGCGACAGCTCTGCCCCTCATCACGCGTAAAGCCGAACCGCCGAGACGAGGGGTCCGAGTGCTTGTCAACCACACGATACTACAACGGTCGGAGGGGCAGATATATTGTTGAATTTTTTATGTCCTTCTTGAGGAACACATCCAACCATGAGTACAGCCTCTCGACCCACCTCCGGAGTGATCTGTAGGGAGCGTTTTGAAGGTACTGCGTGCACACCTAGGTGCTTCTATAAGTGGGATGGTATTTATAAACTAACTTGACATGTTTTCGGTTCTACGAAGCACCACTCACCGTGAGGATAAATACCATTGCCTACCCCTCGAATTGTGTATGACTTTTGCATTTGTGCCTCCTAAAGGCCCTTTGCCTTCGGGAGAATTTCTCTAAACATAGGTACCCAGAAAACGCCTCATTTCTCATAACAATGGCCGACGCTTACAACCCGAACGGATACGTCTCGCCAGCACTGGGCGCCTCCTCAGGCTGCGCAATCTCGAAAGCGTGGACCGCCTCCGTCCGATCAAACCAAACAAAGCAATCAAACTGCTTGGGCAGGATGGCTGCCGAGTAGTGACTCCAACGCTCCGTCTTGGGCCGATAGATCACGCCAATGAATCTTTCGAGCCGCTTCTTCATGAGTGCGTTCCTCAACTCGTCATCGATACAACCTTCCCGAAGGTCGAGCTTGAAGCTGGGAATACCCGTGTCGTGCATGACCCGCTCATAGCTGTCGTCCCGGGACGGATTAACGGTCATTACCTCCATAGGCTCATCCCATTCGTCGGCTGCTGCGACGGTGCCGGTGTGCGTGCCACAACCGATGATGCTGCAGCTCGCGCCCCACTGCTCTTTACATAGCTGTCCGATGTTCAGCTCGTTCCTTGATTCGCCCATGCCCGTGTAGCGAGCGTCTCCGACGTGCGAGTTGTGTGCCCATACGACTGCTTTCGACCCCTTGCGATTCTGGAGCAAGCGCACCAGCGTCTTGAAGAAATGGGTGTCGCGTTGATTCCACGAATCATCGCTACCGTAATACATTGAACGGTAGTAACTTTCTGCGTCGCGGACCAGTCTAGCATTCATCTCTGCATCGAAGAAATCCTCACCGTCGTCCTCTTTGGCGAGCTCCAACCGTTTCTCCAAGAGGTCTTTGAGCATGTTAACAACCCCTTTCTCGCACGGCGCAGCATTCTTGATAAACGAGTTACGCCCGTACTGAGCTGGGTCATCCATCCATGGCTCAAGACAACCGTAGCGCTTCTTCGCAAGCTTCGCGGTCTCTGGATCAACTCTGTCCAAATAGCCTTGCACGGAGTGGATGGAGGTGCCCATGGAATACAGATCAAGACCGGCGAAGCTCGTTCGACTCTCCGGTGCCAGCTGTGCATTGTGTCTACGTAGCCAGTCCACAAAGCTTTGGACTTCGGTGTTGCGCCACATCCACCGGGGGAAGTGGTCGAAGACGCTGAGCTTCCTCGTGTGCTGCGAGGGATTCTGGCGGACGTATCGATCGACAGACTTTGCATCGGGCCAGTCAGCTTCGATGGCCACAATGTTAAAGCCGTGGTTTTCAATCAAATGTCTCGTAATTGCTGCACGGGCGCGGTAGAATTCGGATGTCCCGTGACTGGGAAGCGTTAGCATCATCAGGCCGGCTGCGTGCTCGAGATGGCAGGTCGTCACCTTCCGTCGCCGATTAGTACAACTCTGGACTGGCCAAAAGAGTCGAACATGGCGCCGAAAGAGCTATCTTCGATGGCAGGGAGCCGTTGGGCTGCCTCTTTTACCATTGTAGTCAGAGAACGGACCATTGTGCTGGCACGAAGGGATGCAAATAGGGATAGGAAAGTGGATGGAGACTGTTTCGATGAAGTCCCTGAGAAACACTTTATTTTTTCGTCACACCCTCGCGACTGCCCGCAATGATGCTCGCTGCGAGATCGTAACAGTGACGTCAGCCGCCAATGATGAGCGCGCGCGCAGGGGGTTCTGAACATGCATGCTCGGGCCTACAGCAGATGTCAGTCGCCGACTGGACAGAAATCAAAATAAGTTATAGTGAGATATGGCCAGACTATGTAAGAAGTATTTCATCCCCATTGCGAAACGGTTGTTCCGGCTACATACCTATAGAGCTTACGGGTGAGCTGCACACAAACCGGTCACGAAGGAGCGAACGGAGGACGGTGCCGGAGTCAGGGCGGCCAGACAGGAGACCGAGTGCAGCAAAGGGAGAGAGCACCAAGGGCAGCGGAAGACACGCATTCATCGGGGTCCCGACGGCAGACCAATAAGTTTTCCGTGAGTCCCTGACGGCAGGCCGACCGTCGGGCGGCGCCGACGCCGAAAAAAGAGGATCCTGGCGCCGTTGCCCTTCCTCATCGCGTATAGCTCGCCGTGTCTTGCATTGAAGCAGTCTGGGGGCCGGGGAAGCCAGAGTCATGCCGCCCTTCCTGCGGCCGCCATTGTGAGCGAGAGGTAGTTAGGTTGTTGATAGGTTACCACTCCTGGCACTCACTCGCAGCGGCCGCCACGTGATGTCAACGGCGCTAAGCGAGAGAGGCCAGCGGAATTAAGATAAGCTTGGCGCTTAGCAACGGGCTACCTAGTTGATCATCATCGGGATGGCCTGGACAACCACCCGCACCAATCTACCTACAGCGTCGATCTGTTCTCCCATATTCACATGTTGACGCGTAGTCCGCCTGCCGAACATACTCACGGAGCTTCACTCTCGCACCAAACAGACGCCGCGGAGCCGTCCCAAAACGACTACGCCCTGCCTCTGCGCCTATCAGATCTCATCTCGTCAAGCCAGCTCAGCTCCTTTAACTCCTCGCTGAACGCCAAAGTCCTTCCTGTACGTTCCGTTCACAACGTTGCCTGTCCCCATTGCTTGCCTCCAGGCCTCCCGTCTCCCTTTGAACATGCCCTGTCTCCTGCCGCCGGCCCTCTGCGTCACGTTGCACCTGGCCGTCTCTTGTTTGCCCGTGCCTCCCGGTCCCTGCATATATCTGCTGATTCGCGATTCCTGAGGTTTCGTGCTAATCCATCAATGTCTTCCACAGCTCAGGGTCACTCGGGCTCGTCGCCCATCATGCTCAACGTAAAGAAGCTCAGCGACCTGCTGGCCAAGAATGTGGACCCCAAACTTTACCCTCGCATGTTGTAAGTCGGAACGAGCTGATCTGCGCTCGGATCTAGCTGACCATTTTAGCGTCATGTCGCCAAACGGAACTCTATTGGCTTACTCTACTCCGGCAAATATCAAGGAGCTCAGAGACCAGGCCGCCCTGATTTCTATGACCTGGAAAGAGCAAGAAGCTAAATTCGACTCGCCTGACGGGGAAGCAAGCTCATCCAAGCTCCTGGAAACCCTGACAATCGAGTTCGACAACAACAACCTGATCGTGCGTGCTATTCAACCCAAGCTTCTCCTTGTCCTTGTTGGTGGTGTTCCACCCGGCCGGAAGCAATCTTTCAAAGTCACGCCTGAAGCCCAAGGCGACCCGCGTTACCCGCCAGCCGCAGAGCCGTCACCTTCTCAGCCGCCTTCAGTCATCGGATCCCCGGAAGCGCCTTCATCAGCCTCAATCGCTGAAAGTCATCTCAGCATACGCGAGAAAGATCTCAAGTTAGGAGCATTGCACATCCAACGCAAGAAGATCGATTCGATGACCAGGTTCATTCGACGGGATTTCGAGCGGAAGGGCTTCGTCATGCCTGACGACGTGAGCTTTCCCTAGACATGATTTTGTACATGATTCTACACTTACGGTCTTGTAGAACGAACTCTTTCTGCAGAACGCGCCTGGTTCCTATCCCATGTTCAGCAACCAGGATGAGTTTGATTCTGAGATGGATCCGGACTACGCAGAGGACTTTGCTCAGCCATGACTAGTATGCGACGGCATTTGCACGGATAGGACGGTTGCTTCTCATTTTCACGATGGGCGTTTCGGCTTAAGCCGGAGCAGTGTGGATGATTGGATGTCATCGCACGCTGGCAGTTTCGGTTGTCGATATTCCGGCTGCTTTGAGATATCCTGTACATTTCACGGCTTCACATTGAGCGATTCAGCGGCATGGCGACTCGGCTTTTGACTTTGCTTTATTCCTTATTTCTTCAGTACCACGAGCATTTCTGCGCATTTGACCTCTGCTGGCGACGGTGAATGGGAAAGATAGAGGTCGAAACCCACACTTTAGCATGTACAGTAACGTCCGTCACTGTCGAGCGAAATTCACCGTCTAGCAAGACATGGAAGGATACAACACGCCTTGTCTAGCTACAAGCCTGAGCCCTGGATATAAGTGAAAGGGTCTCAAAGCGCAGATGTACTACAAGAATCTTAACTAGATTTCAATTCTACTCCGTATAACCGTTACTATATCGTTTTGATATGAATCTGGCTTGATGGTGATGGACCTTAGGAATTCTGCGGTGCGATGATTATCTCGGAGTTGACGTGACTGGCCAGAGCGCCCGTGGAAGCTCAGTGACAGCGTATGACGTCGTGCGACGGAGCCGGGGGTCATAGCTCGGCATCGACCTTCCATCGCTCCAGACACCCGCCATTCCCCTCCCTTCTCCCGCATCTCAATTGAAACGACCTACATCCCTCGCAACTCGAGAAACGGTTGGTGCCTCACCATCAGAAGATTCCTCACAAACCGTAGCTAACACCACTCTCACAGCGCATCTTGTCGCACAGCATCCACACACTTCAACCCTTCAACCTTCATCCTACACCCACCATGCTCGCCCCCGTAGCCGCAGCAACACGCCGCATGATGGCGACGACGCCCTCTGTCCTCCGCGCGACCGCGCCCCGCGCAACGCGCCTGTCGGGCGTGCGCGCCCTGCACAGCAGCCCTCTCCGCTCTCTCCCCAGCAAGGACTCGCAGGACAAGGACAGCCTGAACCCGCGATCGACGGAGTACAGCAAGAGCAGCTCAGACGACGCGGCAGCAGCAACGAGCAAGACGGCATTCGACCCGAACCAGACGAGCCCAGAGGAGCAGACGGCGTCGGCGGAGGCTGAGAGTGGGGAGGTGAGGCAGTCCAACGTAGGTTCTGTTCTGAGCGTGGGAGCAGAGCTGAGCTTTCGTTCTTTTTCTCTCCTGTTGCGAGGTCCAACGGTTTGTGAGATGTGCTAATGTGTGTTCAGGATAACAACCCGCTTGATGCTAGCCCTGCCAATACCGAGATGAGCCAGCCGAATGACTCGAGTGCTGGTGGCGCCCAGGGCTCCCCTGGTGAGACTACTGGTACGAGTGGACGCGCGAGGACGAGTGGTGGTGGAAGCCCTAAGAAGGCCGGTGGCAACCGCAGTGGTTAGGCGGCGAGATGGCCCGGCAATCGAAGATTGTATCATCGTTTGAGGATGAACGCTCTGCATGTATTTATTGGAGTAAGAGTGATTTGACAGTCAGGTAGAGTTGGCGGTACTCTATGCATCCTCTCGCGTTTCGGTATCCACATGGAACAGGTTGATTTGGTTAATTGACATGTACAAACTTTTGACGTATTGTCTTTTATTGACGTTCGCTTGACAAGGCAAAAATTTAGTTGCTGTCGCTGTGTTCTTGTCGTCTTTCTGCATCCAAGTTCATTACAGGAAGCACGGCCGTCTACTTTTCACATTCAACAACTACAATATTATTTTCTCACGTTCTCTCTACCATGCCACCACACCCCTCTCGAGCCGTCTAGACCTACAGCACATATGCATTACCGACCAGACCGAAACACATAACGTGGACATACAGATTGATCCAAGCATCAGCACAAAGAAGGTTTCACCCCTCCTCCAGATGACCGTTTTCGTCCACGTATGGAGCCATCCACGCAACTATGAACTAACCACAACTAACTTCTTGAAACCTTGGTAGAGGCTTGTGGTTCCTGGTTTTCGTGTATATGGGCGTACTTTTCGCAAACATGTGGCGGGGCTGATGGTTCTATATGAACGAGGTCTATCTTAAAACCTCAGCTATCAGCAAGTCTAAAGGCAAAAGGACGTGGTGGCTTTTGTCAGGTGTGCATTGCGCTTTAGGAATAAAACGCGGCGCTCCATATGCACGTCATGGCAACGGATATCTGTCCATCTGTCTTATCGTCGCAGGTGGTAAAACGTAGCGAAGCAAACAACAGCAAGAAGTGGCTTGCATCTCGATGAAACGACCATCTCCCGGCGGCATTGTCCAATGACCGGGCTGGCGCGAAAGCTTGCGCCGTCTTATCCGACACAAGGCTGAGCTCGGCCGGGAGACAGGGGCACGGGGCCACGACGAGACGCGTAGCTACAGCCAGCCACCGAGCATGGTTTCCACGGTTCCTCAGAACTACACGACTCCCCGCACAAGTGGTCGCAAGTTCGTAACTCTTCTGGCTGATCGACCGGACCGCGCGTCTCAGGAGCCCCGCCCCCGCGTCCACCACATGGCTTGGGATTGGGGCTGTGTAGTCATGTATATTTCACTGTGAGGCGGGCCCCGAGAAAAAAGTGGTCTGAGCGAGCGCGACTTGTTGATGTCATAATCGTTTGTGCAAATTAAACGGTGGCGGTGCAGCAGCAGCGGGTGCCCGGGCGACGGCGGCTGCGAGGGGAGGGTTGTCAGCACAACAGAAAGGATAGTTATCCGTAGAGATTCAGCAGCGGACGAAAGGAGAAGAGAGCTGCATCGGTCGGTGTGCTTACTCTGCCAACTAAGAATACTCTCCTACCACCGGGCGATCTCAAACGCGGCGTCATCAGCAACGGCAACATCCCGTCCTACCTAAAGACCACAGCCCCCGTGGACGCGTGCTGCCCCCTTGGCGGCGCCTGCTTCTTTTTTCCCTCAAAGCCCCCATGAGTCCCCTCGCTCGTTGACGTCTTTCGCTTTCACTTACCACGCTGCCATGCTTGACGAGAATCTGCCCAGTCAGTTAATTACTGCGCCCAGGCCAACACCGCGCTAACCTATAGCTACCCGCAGCCTTCTTCCTCAAAGCCTCGACCGACCAAGTCAAGCACAACGAGGCCTTTTACTTCTCCCAGCATGGCTCCGAGCCCGCTCCCGCCTACACGCTGCGTCACCCCGACCCCGTCGCCCCTAATGCCCGCAATCGCTACGCCGCTGGTCTCTTCGATGCCCACAACCCGGACGTGCTGTTCGGCGAGGTCCTGATCCAGCCCGAATGGACCTACCCCACCCTCTCTCCCGATGAGATCCGCAAGAATGGCGGTGTCGTGCCTCCGCCGCAGATCATCATGCCCTCCGAGTTCACCATCCAGCTGTACGACCCGAACCAGCAGGTCATTGTGCGCCAGAAGAGCGGCTCGTGGGGCGGCACCGCCAGCTACGAGTTCCAGATGCCCGTCAACACCTTCCGTCTACCCAGCGCGTCTACGCTGGACCGGACCCTTAACGACCCCGCCGCTGACATTACCACGCCCAAGATAAACTTTGTCTGGAGGCGAGAGGGCAAGATGAACAAGGACCTGTCGTGCTTCATGACGGGCAGATCGACAGACCCGGCGGGCAAGAAGAAGAAAAAGGGCGCCAAGGAGCCCGCCATTGCCATTGCCCTGTTCCGCGCGTTAAGAGAAATGACAGTCTACGAATCCAACATGTACCGCGTCGATATTGAAGACCCGAAAGGGCTAGAAATCGTGCTCCTCCTAGCCGCCGCCACCATCCGCGACGTCTTCTTCGGGAACCCTGCCGAAACCTTCAACACGGGCGACCCCAACGCGCGCAAGAGCAGCGGAGGCATCCTAACGCTAAAGCGCAAGAATTCGTCACCCCTCACAGCCATGGAAGCCGCCGTTGCGGCTCCCGCCCCCGCTCCCACCAAGACCGCTCCCGCAATCACGAACCACGCGCCCCACGGCACCGCCATCGACGCCATGGCCCGCAAAGCCACGCCTTCCGCCGCGGACCTCAAGCGCCAGTCGCTCCCGCCACTGAACACGCACCCGGCCGCTCCGCCCCCTCTCGATCCCCGCGCCCAATGGGACATCGACGCCGAGACGGCACGGCTACGCGCGCAAGCCGAGCAGCAGCGGCGCGACCGCGCGCGCAGCGACGCCGCAGAACAGCGACGCACGCGCAAGCTGCTGGACGGCGAAGACAAGGAGCGTGAGCGCGAGCGCAGACGTCGTGCTGCAGAAGTAGAGCGCGAGACGGAGCGCCTACGCCGCCGCTACGGCAGCCAGGACGCGGCGGCCGCCGCGCGGCCAGGCATGGGCATGGGCTACGGGTACGCGGGCCCGCAGCGCCATTCGGCGCCGCTGGTGATGCAGCAGCAGGGCGGGCCGCCGCGGCCGCACCAGCGGAGCATGGCGCCTACGCCCGCGATGGGGCATCCGCATCCGCATCCGCAGCACGCGCAGCGTGCGAGCAGTGGCATGTGGATCCCGCACCACGCACCGCAGCAGGCGCGACCGCCGCAGGCACGACCACAACAGCGCCCCACGCCCACGCCGCTGTCGCAGCCCCAGCGCCGCCCCGTCCCGTCCGCGTCTGTGCCTTCGGCGCCGCTGGTCCCGCCTCCGCAGCGCTTACAGAGCATACCGCAGGCGCGGCCGGTGGAGCTGCCGGTGCGGCCGGCGTTGCCTGCTAGTCGTAGCAGTGGTGGCGCAGCCGCTGCTGGTGCTGGTGCAGGGGTGGTTGCGGGTAATGGTAATGCTAGTGGTAGTGGGAGTGGTAATAATGCAGGCAACGCGAGCAGGCTCAGCTTCTTTGGCGGCGGCGGCATCATCACGCCCGATGAGGGCAAGACGCTGCAGGGCGGGAAGCCGAAGAAGAAGAGCTTGTGGGGCTTGCGGAGTAAGAGTGAAGGGAACGCGGCGGAGCGGCTGCGCAAGAAGAGTACGGTGTTTTAGGTGTGGGAGGGGGGTAAGGGCGTTTGGGACTTGGGTGGATGGGTACAATATGCGTATGGTATGGGTAGGCGTTTTTTCGGTGCGTTGGTGTTTGTAGCTATGTTAGGGACGAGTATCGAGTAGATGTTGTCCGGTAAAGTACTCTTCATTGTTTATGTAGGGTCGCAGCACGTGCAAAAAACCCGCTCACCCGCTCACCGCCTTAGTGAAGGACCCAGCCGGGTAGCACTTTCGTCACGTAGCGTGCATCCCTTTGCTCCCAACGCACACCCACCCCTCATACCTAAACCCATCATGGCCGACGTAAGATCGATGCTGCGCGCCGAACGGGCAGCGCGGACGCAGCCCGCAGCAGCGCGCAAGACCGGCAAGCCAGCCAGCAGCAAAAAGCGCAAAGCCGACGACGACGAAGACGAGGCTGAAGACGATTCGCGCAAGCGCGCTAAAGGCCCTGGATCCCACGCCCTCCCTGCAGGCTTCTTCGACGCAGGCGCCGACGAAATCGAAGCTCCGGAGCGCACCGCGTCGCCCGCGATCGAGTCGACGCAGTTCACGTCGCGGCCGGCCGCGCCTGCCAACGCCAACCTTCCGTCGGGCTTTTTCGACGCCGCCTCCGCCGCCGAGCCTGCACCCCCGCGGGCTGATCCACCCCAGGCAGACGCGATCGATGAGGACGAGTGGGCCGCGTTCGAGCGCGAGGTCGCGTCGCCGCCGCCGGAAGCGGGGCGCGCAGCCCTGGCCGCGATCAACTCGGCAGCCGCGATCGAGGCGAAACCGCTGACGGTGGAGGAGCTGGCGGCGCAGGCGAGGGAGCAGCGAAGCACACAGCGCGGAGCACGGGAGGCCGAGTTGGAGGCCGAGAAGGAAGATGCGGCGCGCCATCTGGAAGAGGAATTCGACGAGATGGAGCAGCTGGAGGACCGGGTGCGGAAGCTGCGCCAGAAACGAGAGGCGCTCCGCCATACCGCGGCTGCAGAGGAGAACGGCATGGATGCGGAGCCTGACGAAGGCGCTGCTGGTTCTGATGGTGGCGCGAGGGACGCTAATGGCCACGATGAGAGCGATCCCGAGGAGCTGGATGACGACGATCTGGAGGACGACTTTGATGACTGGCGGTTTCGCTGAAAGAAAGACGCCGTTTCCTTGCTTGGTTGCAGACTGCACTACACTGCGCTGCTTCGATCACGATACCGATACTGACGACGCCGTTACGGCACCCTACCCACCTACCTAATCAACCACGCACGACCTGCACGGCCTGAGGCAACATCCGCTGTCAGCACGTTGCTTATCGCGTGCATCTATTTTACTGCGCTCAAAGCGGCATCACGAGTTCTACCAAGGCATCCACGGGGCTGATGGCGGTTATGCGTTGTACAAAGAAAGGACGTCTTCGTTAAGGAGACAACGCAATGATGCGCGGACGTCGTTGTGCGAGAAAGATAGGAAATTAATTGGGCACTTTAAGCGGCCAGTCAGGCTATGCTGCTGGGTTTGAGGCTGTACTGTTGAGTCTATGTGATGTGATTGGTGGCTGGTGATGGGGGTGGTTATGTGTGGAGGCGTCTTCCGACTGGAGACTGGAGATATGATGAGTAGATTGTGCGGGTTGGCTGCTGTTGGAATTCGTGGAGCTTACCTACCTATAGTTGTAAATGGTTGTGGCGTTTGAGAGTGGGCTGGCAGCAACTTCAACGGTCAGAAAGTCATCGCCAGTACACCTCGATGTAAACTCTCTCACACACCTCTATCCTCTCAACGCGAGCAACATACTAATAACTAACACCAGCCCTACCACCCTGACTCTGCCCACCGGCCAACAATCAACAGTTAACAATCGACACCACACCACACCACACCACACAACCCAGCACGCCCAACCAAATCCCATTTCCACTAAGCCATTTTCGCACCTTGCCCGCCCGCCCGTTACTAAAAGCTAAAGCCAAAGCTGAAGCTACCAATATACACAGTCAACTCTGCAGAAAACCGGACTGTTACGACTGAACGAACGAACCAACTACGCATGCCTAGCCTAGCCTACCCTCAGTACTTATTCAGATGCAGTGACACCGCTGAGCCCCTTGTCTGGCCGGCAATGAGCGAGACTCTATCTGCACATCATTGCATGAAGTCAGCAACAGCGGGATCGCAAGGATTCTTTCTGAGCTAGAAGAAATGAATGACTATCTGTGGTGCCGGGGATAACAACTATAGTAGCATTGAGCTTCTCGGGCGTGTCTGCTGGTATGGTTTAGTGGTGGTTTTTTGGTGGTGAGCTGCGGTAGTTTTGAACGATGTTGGTGGTTGGTGTGGCTGTGCGATGCTGTGCTGCATTGGTCTGTGAGAGTGTGAGACTACGCTTAACCATTTACCGACACACTTTCTGAAAGATGGGCAGGGAGACCCAGTTTACTGGAATACCTGCGACGATGTTTGGGAATCGTCAGTCTTGTGTCAGTTATTTGGAAGAGCATGTTTGTGTGAAAACTAAGTTTATGGAATAGTTAACTCCGTTACCGTCTAGCGAGATAGAAAGTAGTCCCTATGGAGTACTCGTTGTCGAGCTATAAGCCTAAGTCCTCGGTATGGGTGGGAAGGTCTTAGAACGTACACTTACTACCTATAAATGTCGTAGCTAGATTCCATTTTCACCTCATCAGGCGGTGAATGTTGTAGGTGCCAATGCTTCATGTTAAGATAGGCGGATCGACGGGCGGATGCTCCGGGTAAGTGAACGGGAGTGGATCTAGCGCCTTCCGGCAGATCGCCTGCAAGGATTCCACGCCACCACGCGTCAACGCGTCGTCGCATCGCGAACACCCGCTACCTATTCACCTAGAGCAAACTGCATGTTACCATAGCGTCCTTCCAATTCACCTTTGTCCTGTTTCTGCCGCCCATTCCCCTCGCCTAATTTCCGCCCGTCGTCTGTTTATTCTTTCTTTCCAACAAATTTTTTTTCCATAAAACCCTCTGCATCGCCGCCCACCATGCCGTCTTTCGTGAACGAGAGCTCGCCCAAGCCGCCATCGGCTCCGTTCAGCTTCAAGATGCCTTCGGCCGACAAGAGCAGCCAATCCTCGGTCGCCGAGAGTCGTCCGCGCGGCACGCACGCCAACTCCAGGACCAACGAGCTCTCGCGTTACCTTAATGTCCTGAAGCCGGGCACGACGGATGGCGACAGCGGCGGGTTGCGCGCGCGCGCCGAAGAGCTGCTCAACACGCCGCTGTTGTCATGGTCGACGAAGCTGGCGCTGGGCGAACAGCGCGCCAGCAACAAGATGCCCCATGACACGCGCTTCAACCAGTACGCGCTGCTCGGACACGACCGTTCCGGCCGGGAATACCTGAAGAACGAAGACAACCCCGGCGGCATCGAACCCATCTTCCTGAACATCAACACGCCCTGGTCGGCTTTTCTCTGCGGGTCGCAGGGCAGCGGAAAGAGCCACACCCTCTCTTGCATGCTCGAGGGCTGTCTGATGCCCGACAAGTCGCTTGGCAAGCTTCCGCACCCTCTCAAGGGCATCGTCTTCCACTACGACCAGTGGTCGTCCGGAGCCGTCTGTGAGGCGGCGCACCTGTGCTCCCGGGGCATCAAGGTCAACGTGCTCGTGTCCCCCAGCAACTTCTGGAAGCTCAACGACGCGTACAAGAAGCTGGACGACCCGGACAACCACCTCACTGTCCGGCCGCTGCTGCTTCAGCCGGGCCACCTCAATGTCGAGCGCATGCTGAGCCTGATGGCGTTCAACGAGAAGGACGGAAAAGTCCCTCTGTACATGGAGGCAAGTCCCCGCAGCACCGACATCCATCCCAATCGCCACCTCACTGACAAAACGCACAGGTGATCAACCGCATCCTGCGCGACATGGCGATAGCCTCAGGCGGAGCGCCAGGCTTCGACTACACAGCCTTCAAGACGCGCCTCGACGCGGAGCGGTTCACAGGCGACCAGAAAGGCCCGATGTCGCTACGGCTGCAGCTGCTCGAGAGCTTCCTGGACTTCTGCGGCACGCAGCCTACCGTGCCCGTGTCCAAGAAGAAGAAGAAGGAGCTCGTCGCCGCCCCCGCCATCGACATCTTCAAGCCCGACGCCGGCTCCCTCACCATCGTCGACCTTACCGACCCCTTTGTCGACGCTTCTAGCGCTTGCACCCTCTTTGACATCTGCCTCGCGCTGTTCCTCGAGGACCCCAGCCCCGTTGGCCGCGTCATTGCGCTTGATGAAGCCCACAAGGTACGTTCACCCTCCTTCCCCCCCCACATACCCTCCCTAAACCCTCAAACACCCCACTAACCCCCACCCCCCACGCAGTACATGAACGGCAACGCGGGCGCCGACCGCTTCACCGAGACGCTCCTCACCTGCATCCGCATCCAGCGGCACGCGGGGTGCCGCATAATAATCGCGACGCAGGAACCGACCGTGTCGCCCAAGCTGCTCGACCTCTGCTCCATGACCATCGTGCACCGCTTCACGTCGCCGGCGTGGCTGACGATGCTCGAGACGCACATAGCGGGCCTGTCGCGCGCGGCAGGCAAAGAAGCCGACGAGCTCACGCGGCTGTTCCAGGAGATTGTCACGCTCAGGGTCGGCGAGGCGCTGCTGTTTGCGCCGAGCGCCATGGTGCGCGTGAGTGTGGGCGGCGAGATTCGGAAGCTGGGCGTTGAGTGCTTGCGGTTTAAGACGAGGCAGCGCTTGACGAGTGATGGGGGGATGAGCGTGCTGGCTATGCGGTAGAGGGGTGGGGGCTGCCGTGTGGCTATGTCGTGGTTGGGGCTGGGTGGGTGGCATTGTGGTGCATGTGTCTGTGACGCTTGGGGCTGGGTATGCGTCGGTGGGTTTGTTGTGATGGTGATGGTGATGTCTGGGACTCTTCAAGGCATCTGTAGGTCTGTAGGTAGGTGTTGGGCGAGATGGCTTGGCTTGGTTTGGCTTTCTGGGCTTGGGTGTATGTGCGGTGCGTGCTTCTTGGTTCCTACGGTTCAAAAGGCGTAATACGGAGGACTTAATGCGGCGTGCGTGGTGGTGGGTAGGAAAAAGTCTTTTTGTTTAGTGGTAGAAATCTGTCTGCTCTTGTTCTTGCTGTTGCTGTTGCTGTTGCTGTTGCGTGATAGAAGGGTCGGGAGTATGGTGGTGGTGTTGGTGGACTTTTGCTGGGACTTTTTGCGCTGTGGATGATTGTTTTGTGGGATTGTTGTACGGCCTTTTTGAGTGCTTGGGTCTAGAGGTAGAAAGATAAAAATAGAAACTAACTGTTGTATCATCACGCAGGGCAAGCAAAATATCTGGAGAAATTCACGCCAGCAAACGCATGAGGACACAGAGATTCATTGGTTCATCATCTATCTAGACTGCATACTCAAAGCTTCTTCACTAGTCAAGCACGCCGCCTTAGCATGTAAGGACGTAGAAAACCACATACAAGAAAGCTGTGTCGTCTACTGTACTCTCTGACCCGTGTCGTAACCCAAACCTCTACTCAAGACTCAAGAAAGACAGCTGGAACCACCAACTCAACAAGTGTCCTCATCCATGACCGTGTCCTGATTGAACGAGCTTTGAGGAAGCGAATGCTGGACACTTCCAGAGAAGCTGGAGTGGCCATTGGTGCTGGCATTGCCGTTCGTGTAGACGCCGCCACTTACGCTCGCCATTCCCGTGTTCGTAGCGCTCTGGTATTTCTCGTCTAGCTCCTGGAGGCATTTCAAAGCCGCATCGAGCTTCTCGCGGTCCGCATTGAGGACGCGACGGCGCGCAGCACGGTCCTCGTCTTCTTCCAAGAGTTCCATGCAAGTCTTTTGGGGAGTCTTTACGCCATCATCCTTGTAAATTTCAAGAGAGGCGACTAGTTCGTCGTGGAGATTGCATCGGAGCACTTCGAAGACGTCTGCCTGGAAGCTCTGGCAGAGATGGTCCACAAAACGTGTGGATGCGATGGTGTAATAGCCACGAATCTTGCTCATCGCCTCGACCTCGCGGGCAAAAGGGTCCGGCCCAAGGCTCTTGCGGAAGTGTTCGTCAACCATTTTCTTTTGGCGGTCTGCTGGCTGAGTTGTCTTTCCCGTCACCCTGTCCTGGTTGTTGAAGTATGCTTCCGTTCTGGCCTTCCAACGTGCTTCCTGGAAAATCTCCAGCTCCTTTTCTTCATTGGATTTGAGCGATGCGAAGTTTTCTGTCATAGGCTTACAACGCTCCAGGCGGAGAGCACGGGGCGCATACACATTATGCAGTTGGTGAGTGATATCTTGAACGAAATCCTCCGAGAGCTGCTTTGTCTTTGTGTACAGTTCTGTAGTATTCCAGGCTTGCAGGGTAGCATCCAGAGCCTTCTTGATGGTGTCACGAATGGCCTCCAGTACGCCGTCAAGGAAAGCAGCCATGGGCTGGTCCCAGTTCTTCAGGGTTTCGAGCCGCATGTGGTTGACGGCTTTCGGATCGATGTCTCCTGGGATATCAGATGTGGATAGGTCGTTCAACGTAGACCTGATGGCTTCAAGCGTGAAACGTTTGTTCAACGCACTAGGCTTCGAAGAAGCAGTCCGCCTGATCTCGTACGACGTCTCTCTCTTCTTGCGCTTCTTACTGGGCGTGGCATCAGGCTCTGAATCTAAGTCAATGACCTGAGGGTTTCTGGGTGTCCCGGGCACAGCGGGCGTCTGAGGAGTTCCGGGAAAATTAGGCATGATGGATCCAGCCCTCTCGCGGAACACTTGTTCCCCGTCTGACGCAGCAGTATAGACCAACTTAGGTCGCTGGTCGAAGAGCGCCTCCGAAAACTCTTCGCGACGCTTTTTCCATGATTTACGAAAGTCGTTGGAGGGAAGTTCACCTTCCAGCTGCTTGGTGACGGTGCTGATAAAGCTACCGAGGCTTTCATGAACGATTCGTTGTGCATCATTGGTAGGAGGTTCGGGGATTTTGCTAAGCTCAATATCGATCTCCGCAAGCTTATCCTGAACCCTTTTGTGAATTGTCGGGAGGCTAAAATTGATCTGTCAGCGGCGAACTTCCATAAGGCATATCAAATTCGTTCAGGTACCTGTCAAGAATTTGCGAAGCCAACAAATGCGAGAGCTTCTCTTGCAAATGCTCAGTGCCAAAGCGGTCCCTGTAGGCCCGGAACTCGGGGCCTCTCCAAGGATACATCCCTTGGAACCAGGCCTTCTCTTGGTGCCTCGCCTCGGCGTGGGTCATGCCCTGGTCAAGCTCCTGTTGAGAGGGGTTCTTGACAACATGATATCCATAACCCAGAGCAAACAGCTTGCCCTGGAGTATAGACAGCCATCGAACATAGTCACCTTGGTTGCCTTTATCAGCCCTATCAGGCTTGGTGAGGATACCAATGCAACGGTTGGAGGCACCCGCCTTGTTCGCTAAGTAGGCTGCCGAGGAATTCTGAATGTCTCCCTCCATCGATACAGCCTGCAAAACAAGTGCGTTGGCTTCCGAGATATACTTTTTCACAAGACGTTTTACCAGCTTAATCAGATATGGCTTGCTCTTGTCTTCTGTCTGCGCAATGACACCGGGCAGATCAAAGAAGGCCAGGTCCGGGAGCTCAGGGGCGGAGATCTATCTTTATTAGCATCGGCATCTAGAAAGCTAAATGAGACACTCACATCAAGACAAACGAGGTTGGGCGAGAACTCGACTTTGTTCGTCTGGTCCTGCGATCCTGAGACATATGACATGGGATCCCGTTGGGGGTTGAGCGTAGCAAGCTGTGCGTAGAAGATGACTTCCTGGAGTTCATCTTTCTTGTGGACTGACTTGAATCGGATCACCTCTGGATCCTTCTCCAACCATGGGTAGAATGGAGGAGGCTTTTCGTTGGGGTCAGGTGATACGTTTTCACCCATGTACGCATATTCCCGGCGAAGAGTGACCTCGCAGCGCCAACGGGCGCCTGGAGCATGGTCGGCTGTGAGAGTTATCTTCATTGGGCATCTCGTGCAAGTTCCGGTGCTGCGAGGCACTTGAATGCCGCTGATGGCATTGATCACACTGCTCTTGCCTGCTGACTGGTCGCCGATGACGACAATCTTCGGAGTGCTGCCAGCGACTTTAGCGATTCCAAGTTGCTCGATCTTGTTGATAGCATGCACGAGCTCTTTGATGCCACGACCCACCGCGTCGATCGGTTGAGTCTCTGGCGGAGCTGCAGTAACTTGAATGAGGTTAGCTTAACCATTCTTTTTAGATGGGAAGGACGGAGTGGAAGGCGGAAAAGGCAGGGTGGGATGGATGGGAACAGAAGGGTGGTAAGCGGGTCGATGTAGCGATGTTGAAGCGCGTTTTGAATTACCTGAGCGACCTCTATCGGCAAGGGTAGTAGAGAGCCTAGGCCTAGGAGCCGGCTCCGCCTTGAAGTTGGTAGCCATGGGTTCGGGTGAAGAATCAGCGTCAACGTTAGTGTCAGTCGGACTGCCAACCGTGACGGGATTCTGCGTGACAGAGTTCTGTGCCGGGCGACGAGAAGCTGACGATGGGGCTCTTGACTGTCCACTGCGGAGTGAAACCATATTCGGAACGGAAGTTCAGGTTTCTTTGTCGGTCATGGAAACGGAACGAAAGAACTTGGGCTTGAAGTGAGGTGAAGTCAGTTCTAGATGCAAAACGTCATGTCGGGCTCTTGGGTAGTGGTTGGACAGCAGGCTGATGTAAAGACAAGAGCTGCCCGAGCTTTAATGTGACTAACCTTCGCGAAATTTCGTGACGTCGCGACGATAGAATTTGCGAGTGAGTTGTTGCGCCTTGTCCGGCGTGCCTTGTTTACAAGTTTACAGGCGGGGATGTGCAGGTACCTAAGAAGGAAGGTGGTGCATGGAAACCGGAGGAGGGTTGCGGAGGGCGAAGGCTTCCCGTGAAGGGAGAAGGTTGTTGCTGTTGAAGGAATTGTGTGGAGAGAAGGGTGGAGAGTAGAAGGTGAAAGTCGTGGAGTGTTAAGGCTGAGTGAGCAGACGGCGGCGGACGAGGCGGCTTCTTAAAGAAGACGGCTGCACTGAGTGACGGCGGCCCCAGCTGGCCGATTTTTTGCAGACAACTTGAGGTCGAGGCAAGCAACAGAATAGCAACGGGAGTGTACGTGAAGTCAGTAGTAAATCAGCAAAATCAACATAGAAGCTCTGTAGCTGCACGTAACCGAGTCGTTGCCGTGGACGACCCGCTACGGACAACGTAGTGCGTATGATGAAACATTAGGCGGAACACACAAAATCGTGGGGGTCTACAAGCTTTCACGCTGCGCTGTATAGCACGCTCACAAAATAGCAGCGCGTGAAGCCGGGGTGTCGTTTTGCATCGGCAGACAGGGATCACCCTAGGGAGTCATGCAATCTACGTGCTGCAGGAACAAGGTCATCCTTATCTTTGAGTTTTGCCGCCATTGCTTGTCGTAGGTCTGGATGTGGTGCTGTGGATGTGATGTTGACAAGAGTGGCGCTTACGCTCGGGTGTGGCATCTGGCAGCGAAAGCCACTATAAAAATACGGGCTATCCGTAGACAAGCGCGCTCGCAACACAATCTCGGACACGCGGCACCTGCGCGCCACGATTTGAATTTTACGGATTTCTCGTGTGATACACCCCTCATTTCCAATGTGACCGGGGCATCATGCGAGGTCGAGCCAACCATTGTGTGATGATGACAGGGCATTCTTCGCCTGCATCTGCCGGGTTCCGTCAACGGCTTGGGCAACCTCTGTCCGGATGGTTTTGGCTTCTACGCTGATTTTTGGCTTTGGCTATGGTGTTGAGAGCTTCAATCAACAACGGGTACGAAGTGGCGCTGTCGAACTCTGGGCACGGGCGTGTGATACGTCAGAATCAACTTCGCAGGGGCGGTTCAGGGCGCTCACCGCCCGGCCCGCGTACCACTCCTTGCGCAATGCCACGGTGCCCTCTCTGACCACTCTCCACCATAAACCTGGCCTCAATTGCGCTGCCAAAAAGATACCCCGGAAGCTTTTGTTCTCTACAGCTACTTGACTACGCGCCTTTCCTTCTATAACCATGAGCCTTCAGGTCCCGTTCAGGAACAGGGGAGGCCACCCGCCCTCCACCAAGGCTGTCATTCTGGTACGTGAGCTCTCGACTACACCATGGCATGGCTCTCACTAACATGGCGCAGGTTGGCGGCCCGTCCAGAGGCACGCGCTTCAGGCCATTGTCGCTCGACGTCCCCAAGGTACTTTCCACGGCCTAGCGACACCGATTGGATCGCTGACATCCACAGCCCCTCTTTGACGTCGCCGGCCACCCCATCATAGAACACTGCTTCCGCGCCATTACCAAGGTCCCCGAGATCAAGGAGGTCTTCATCGTCGGCTACTACGACGAGTCCGTCTTCCGCGACTTCATCAAGGAGACCGCCAACACCTTCCCGCACATCAAGCTGCACTACCTGCGCGAGTACCAGGCTCTGGGTACGGCTGGCGGTCTCTACCACTTCCGTGATGCCATTCTCAAGGGCCACCCGGACCGCTTCTTCGTCCTCAATGCCGATGTCTGCTGCTCATTCCCGCTGAATGAGATGCTGAAGCTGTTTGAGGAGAAGGACGCGGAGGCCGTCATCCTTGGTACGAGAGTCGGCCAGGACGCGGCAACAAACTTTGGATGCATTGTCTCGGATGCGCACACTAAGCGGGTGCTGCACTACGTCGAGAAGCCCGAAGGCCACATCTCCAACCTGATCAACTGCGGTGTCTACCTCTTCTCCACCGAAGCCATCTTCCCCTCCATCCGCTCCGCAATCAAGCGCCGCACCGAGCGCCCGCGCCTTCTCTCGTATCCTTCGTCGGAAAACCTCGAGTCGTCATACATTCAGCAGGAGGATGAGGAGGATGAGGGCGAGACGCAGGTGATCAGGCTGGAGCAGGACATCCTGTCCGATCTGGCAGACACCAGGTCATTCTTCGTCCTCGAGACGAAGGACTTCTGGCGGCAGATCAAGACGGCCGGCTCCGCGGTCCCGGCCAACGCGCTGTACCTGCAGAAGGCCTGGCAATCCGGCTCCGAAGAGCTCGCCCAGCCCTCCGCCAACATCATCCCCCCTGTCTTCATCCACCCGTCTGCGCACGTCGACCCTACGGCCAAGCTGGGCCCCAACGTCTCCGTTGGCCCCCGCGCGCACATTGGTGCCGGCGCCCGCATCAAGGAGTCTATCGTCCTCGAGGACGCCGTCGTCAAGCACGACGCTTGCGTGCTTTACACGATTGTTGGGTGGAGCAGCAAGGTTGGCGCATGGGCGCGCGTGGAGGGTACGCCTCTGCCGCACACGAGCCACAGCACTAGCATTGTCAAGAACGGCGTCAAGGTCCAGAGCATCACGATCTTGGCGAAGGAGTGCGCCGTTGGAGATGAAGTCCGCGTGCAGAACTGCGTCTGCCTGCCAAACAAGGAGTTGAAGAAGGTCAGTTTACAAGCAGCACACTATCCCGCAAAGCCGCTAACAGATCATCGCAGGACGTCGCTAATGAGGTTATCATGTGAGGTGCGATACGCAAGGAAGGAGGCACAGGCAATATGGAGGCTCGAAAAGCAGTCATGTCACGGCTTCTGGCGTGTTAAAGCAGATGGTTCCAGCTCGTTGAGTTTTGAGTACGGCATCATGAATTACACTAATTAATGCCTGACTCGAGACCAATTTACAGTTTTCTAAGGCATTGCGTCCCTGCACATCACGATTCCCCGCATCCGTTCGTGCGGTCTCCACCCTCCGCACCCCCACCTCTGCCGCCCACCAAACCCTGTGACGTATCTCTTTAGCGCCCGCACAATCAACTCAGCCACACTTGGAATTCAGGCAGGCCAGAGTACTCGTATGGGACCGGATAAGCATATTGACATGTTTGAGGATGACAGTCGGCTACGGAAAGTAGCTGACGGTCTGTTTCTCAATGCATCAGCAGCATTAGGAATCTCCATCCAGTGTGCACGGTTATCCATCGAAGAGTCATCTCTGCAATCGCTATCAGTGTCTCCATCACCCGCCAACCAGATGGCCTTCTTGAGGCTCCACTCTCTGCCCGCCTGCTTGCCTCCATCCTTGTAAGCTCATTAACCCAGACCCGCAAAGCAACATAAATAATGCACGCAAGACCAAAAGCGACTTATCCCATATAACCACACACCGCCTCCCAACACAGCACCACGAACCACGGGTCCAACAACCCGGCCCCGTCGACGTCAGCGGCAACAACACCAACACCACAGCAACCTGCACCACCATCATCAGCACCACACCCACCCCCCACCCCACCTCACAATGCCACCCCCCACAACCCTCCCCACAATCGACATCTCGCCCTTCCTCCACTCCTCCTCCACCCCCGCCGCGCGCGCCGCCACCGCCGCAGCGCTCGCCCACGCCTGCGCCGCCTCCGGCTTCTTCTACCTGACAGGCCACGGCATCGCAGACAGCACGCTCGCGCACGTCGTCGAGCTCGCGCGGCGCTTCTTCCTCGAGAGCAGCGACGACGAAAAAGCAAGGATTGCGCGCCGCGGTGTTAGTGAGGGTGGGGACGGGGCGCGCGGCTATCAGCGCGTGGGCGAGAACGTTACTTTGGGGCGGAGGGACTGGCATGAGGCGGTGGATTTGTATCGTGAGTTTTGCGAGGGCGAGGAGGAGGGCTTTGGAGGTAAGGGTGGAGGTAAGGGAGGGGAAAGTAAAGTTGGGGAGGGGGGAGAGGATGGCTTGCTGAGGGGACGGAACTTGTGGCCTAGGCATCCGCCCGAGTTGAGGGATTTGCTGGAGGCGTATGTGGAAAGGGTGAAAGGGGTGGGGACGGCGGTTGTAAGGGCCATGGGATGCGCGTTGGGGGAGGGGCTGGAGGAGGTGTTTGTGCGGGAGACGGGGAAGAGTTTTTGGGTGTTAAGGATGGTGGGGTATCCGGGGTTGCCTGAGGAGGGGGCCGAGGACGATGACGGTGACGGCGAGGAGGAGGGGGAAAGGGACATGGGCAGGGGGGTCAGCTGTGGTGAACATACCGGTAGGCTTGCACCTTTACCACCACTACTACCACCATCACGTCCTAGCAAGAAACGCATAGTGAACTGCAAAAAACACCTGACATCCAATCACCAGACTACGGCTGCATAACCCTACTCCTCGCCGACGCCACCCCCAACGCCCTCCAAGTCCGCACCCGCGACGGAGCCTGGATTAGCGCAGACCCGGTGCCTGGCGCCTTCGTCGTCAATATCGGCGACATGATGGAGCGGTGGACGAACGGGTTATGGAAGAGCACCCCGCACCGCGTCGTCCATCGGGGCAGTGGCTACCGCGTCAGCGTGCCGTTTTTCTTTGAGCCGGACTTTGGCGCCAGGGTTAGGCCGCTGGAGAGGTGTGTCCAGCTTACTGGTGGCGTGGAGAGGTATTCTGAGGTGGCGTATGGTGAGTTTTTGATGCGGAAGATTAGGGGGAATTTCGTTTAGGATGAATCAACTCCCAACACCTTGTAGGTAGTTGCTTCGTAGGCAGCTGACGTCGTATTGTCAACAAGCAAAGCCCGAGTCGAGCGTGTGTTGAGTGGGGG